AGGGAGGGATTTATTAAAGATATGAATAGGTGGAAAGTAGGAAAATAGTTACCAATTTGGGGTTTTTCTACTTTAAAGTATTTAAATCTAAACACCATCATTTTTTGTCAGTAGTGGTAGGGCTTTTTCAAGATCATTTGTGTAATTTTCTTTCCTTCAGCTGTCTGTAGCCCTGTCCAGATTTGACACAGCCACTGAGCTGTGATGAAATGGCAGCTTCTTGTAGGGTGTTTTTTCTAAGGAAACAGCAAGGAGAAGGGATGATAAGGTCTGTCTAAGGAAAGGGGAAAACAAAAGGGAAAGGAGGAGGGAAGGGAGGGCAGGAGAGGGGGTAAAGGGTATCCCTTGAATAGGTTGAATGGCTGTTTTGTTCAGTCCTTTCACCATTTGGATTCATGAAAATTTGTGTCTTACTTTACAGATTATTTTTGAGGCAATCCGCGGTGTGTCAATAAGAAGTGACACTGCTATTGATGATATTCTGTTCCAGACAGGACCTTGTTTGGGTAAGTTTCAACTTTGTAACAGACAACTGAAATTCACAGTGCTTCTTTGCAGGTGGGTGATACTTCCCTCCAGTCCCCATTTGAATTTAGTATCAGGCTGCTGGGTTAGTGCTGAACTTCTACTCTCTAATAGGATGTGAGATCATCCTCAGAATCTCAAAACTAGTAAAGTGGCTATGCACTTCCACATGACAGTCCCATTTAATCCAGCATGTTAATTAAATTCTGCTGTAACTATTCTTATGTATGACAGAAACAAAAAAAAACCAGTATTTCTTCATTCTTTGTATTCCAGAAGTGGAAGAAATTCAATTCTCATCAGGCTATCCTGACAGCTTAAATGAAATTGAGTATTAAATACAGCCTGCTGGAAGGAATGGAGCACACTGAAGATTCGTATGTGAGAAACTGCAAGAACCACCTGTTTTAAAATATAATCAAATACTGGACTGGTTTGAATACACACCAATACGTAGGAAGAACTCGGAGCAATCATGTTCCTCGCCTTTTAAATGAAATTATTGACTCAGGGCTTCTTAGACCATAATTTTTTTACATTATTTCCTCTTTAGCATGAGGTATCAGTTATTTCATAAAGGCTTCCCATTTTGCACAATCATTCATTTTTAATTTTTTTAATGTTTCTAGTATATAAGTAAAAAGAGGAAATTCATGTTGCACAATTGAAGTCCAATATTGTGTTATCTTAAATCTGCATTCAGTGAATGTTTTGTGTTGGGGATAGAATGGATTTTTGTTAAGAAAATTTTAAATGTTTTGAAATAACAAAGACAATAGTGTTAGCTACTAGTATTATCCTACAGGTTAAGTGCAATTATTCACAATGACAAATCTCTCTGGGACACTTAATCCTCTGCTGACAATTTTTTGTGATAGTGTATTATTTTACTATAACAAATATATTTGTCAATAACAAACTCACTTCTAGTGTTCAATATAATTCAGCATAAGATGCTGGCCTGTGGAATTATATGAAATTAAACACTTTAAAGCCATATGTTTTCTGGGATGAGAGTCTTGTTGTCTGTTTTTTTATTAAGTAAGTTTGTACACTCACAGAGAATGCACTTACATTTTGCCCAGCCACAGATGTCTTGCATTTATATTACTAGGAAACTGAATCTACACATCTTGTTACTTCTTAGGATTTTATGTATTTGTGTGTAAGGATTTTTTTAAAATTACTGTAACTTCCTAATAAAATGTAACTTGGAGTATCATCTTACTGCTCTGCTCTAGATTTCTGTCTTGGTGTGAAAGACAGCTTCCTGCTAAGGAAGGCAGGGACTTCCCTTGGAATAGAAAAGGTAACCCAGTTCCCTCCAAATTATTATAATTTTGAAATTAAGGGGCTCTCAGGCAAAGATGTGAGACTAGGAATAGCAGTTCTTGACTGGTGTGTGTAACAAGGCAAACAAACAACAGCAGCTCTGGCACTCACACCAAACAGAGCCCGCGGGCACTCTCCCCTCGCTGCAGATCCGGGCACGGCCGCCAGGGGGCGCTCGTGCTCCCGGTGGGCGGGGCGGGGGTTCCGCCGCGCCGGCAGGGGGCGCTGTGCCGCGAGCTGGGGCCGCACGCGGTAATGGCGGCTCGGCCCAACGGGAAGGGATGGGAGACGGGCTTTGCTGCACAAAGAAAAAAAAAGTAAAAAAAAGCTGCCGGTGCTCGGCAGCACGTACGGAAACAGCAAGCAGGGCCGGCAGGAATGAGTAAAAATCCCGTGGTGGTAGCAAGATGTATAAGAATCTCCGGGGCTGTGGCTGGAACCGCGGGATGTCTCGGCAAGCAGGAGGTGGGGGCCACAGTGCAGCGAAAGCTCGGAGCAGCGCCGAAGAGCAACGGGGGTGGAATAGCGACAGCCCAGTTCCCAGCAGGGCAGAAGGGGCGAGACAGTACTAGACTGGGCTACGGTGGTGACAGTGAATCCTTCTCGCATTAGGCAACAGCCCACCTGTCCTTCTCCGAAACCCAAAGCGAGAGCTCTAGCAGCTTCCCTACCCCTGTCTTTTTTCCTGTTCAAATCTCCAGGTATCTCTTCCCCTCTCCTCTGAGTTTGGCCACTCTTTTGGTGTTCTTAAGAAACCCTAAGTACACAATAGTTAGTTTCCTAGCAAGTTATGGGAAAAGAATCCGTAAGTACAAAAGAAAGAAACCCAACTCCCAACATCAGTAAAGTGTATGCTTTGGTATCAATATTCAGCTCAAATTACCTAAGCAGAAAACAAGTGAAGATGAAGCAGGTAAAATAATCAGGTTTGGTGGTTCTTGGTATGTAAGTGAAACGAAGCATGAAGTACAACTGTTATGCTCCTATCTCTAAAAATTTGTGCGACTCTGCCTCATTCCATCAAAATAATCAGATTTAGACTGATAGAATAAAAACCGAAGTGAAGGACTCTAAACCTGCTCTCCACTAAGTGATTTCTAGGGACCTCACTGCTCAAAAAAAAAAAAAAAAAAGGCAAAAAAAGGGTGGGGGAAACCATCAAAAAAACACCTAAGTTCTTCTTTAAGTAGGGAACATCACCTTTCCAATAATTTTTGCTGCAGGAATTAAAGCACAGAGGGAAAATTTGAAAGTTGGCTTCCATTTACCTCAGTGTCTGATAAATATCAGTTTACAGAATAGGAAATTCGAGAGTAATGGAAGAATGTCTACAAAACATTTGAAAATTGGGTACAGTGCATTAAGGTTTCTCCACTGGCAAAATTCAGTTTTATGGTGAGATAAAAAAATATTCTGTCAGTTCTGTCCAAATGGGAATCCTTCTTGCAACTAATTCCTGTCCTGGATCCATATTTATTTACTATTTTTTTCTTTTCTTCACTACTGCAGTAGCTGTACCAGAACCACAGTAGGGCAAAGAACAGTTCTGACTTGCCGTACCAGGCCTGTTTAATGTCTGAAAATTTCTTCAAAAGCTAGTGAAGAACTCACAAGTAATTGCTTTGATCCCAGTTGTGTCACAATATGTAAAATTTAAATGAAAAAGAAACCTCAAAAATACAGATTTTCAAGCTATAATCCCCCAAGCGGTAATGGGTTTATATTTGATTGCTGTAAATGTAGCTTTGTGCTGGACTGGAACTCAGCTTGTCCTGAGATCAGTGGAAAGCCCTTTTATTGACCTCCTCTTTAATACTGTTCTCCTGTTTAATGTTGTTTTTATTCTTTAAATATTGTCCCATTAGTTTTCATTTTATCATCATCCTTATTCATTTCCAAACAAATGCAAATTCAGTTCTCATTTACACCTACAGAAATCCAGAATGACAACTGTTATAAAATGTCACTGTTACTCTGTTTTTATAGGTATTCTGACTATGGTGTCACACCAAAATAAACCTAATATAAACTTATCTTTACAGTCATGAAGAGTCACAAAGACAGCTCAAGCCAAGCACTAAAAGACCTGGCGTTTTATCCACCTGGATGTGAGCAGCACACTTGCCACCGTGACTGCCCTCACTCAGGAAACCTACTGCTGGACCCAAAGGCTGGAGGGAGCACACTTCTGCAATGTGACAGACACACTGAGTCCTGTTCTACCTCTCACGTTTTGAGAAAGAGAAAACCTGACCCTCATCCCACCTCAAAGAAAAGATGAGCTGTCTATTGTGGTATATTCCCTGCCATGTGGTATATTCCCTGCCACACTCCTCAGTCTGGGCCATTCTGGAATTCTCCTTAGGCCTTAGCCTTGATTCACGGCTCCTGGGCTCACCCTTGAGCTTACTAGAAACACCCAGGAACTAATGCTGCCAAACTAGCTCCTGCTGTCTGACAGGCTGTCTTGGAATGCTATTTACTTGAACCATTAGCCTGAATCATGGAATTACAGAATTGTTAGGGCGGGAAGGAAGCTCTGGAGATGATCTATTCCAACCCACCCTGCCAAGGCAGGGTCACTTACAGCAAGTGACACAGGAATGTGTCTAGGTGGGGTTTGAATGCCACCAGATTGGGAGACTTCAAAACCTCCAGGGGAAGACTGGTACGGTGCTCTGCCACCCTCAACGTAAGGAAGTTCTTCTGATATTGAGGAAGAACTTCTTGAGTTTTAGTTTGTGGCCATTGCTCCTCATCCTGTCGCAGGGCACACTGAAGAGCCTAGCACTATCTGCTTGGCAACCTCCTTTGAAATAGCTGTATTCATTAATGAGATTCCCTCTCAGTCTTCCCCAAACTAAACACGCCCGGCTGCTCATAATGCTGTAACCGTATGCAGGAAATGCATTGGTAAATGGAACGCGCGGGCAGCAGAACGCGCGCAGAGCGCTAACAGGCCGGCGCCATGCACGGCGCTGCCGCCGCGCCTGCCTCAGCAACAACAGCCGCAACGCCCCACACTGCCCCGCCCCACCAGCCAATGGGCGCCGGCGCCGCGCGCTTCACGCCTATGAGAAGTTTCAGGGCAGCTCAGTCCCGCCCCCCGGGCAGCGAGCGCGCGGCGCGGGCCCGGCCGCAGGGGAGACGGGGGGTGGGGGGGCTGGGAGGAAGATGGCGGCGGCTCGGGAGAAGGGGAAAGCTGTTGGGAAGGTTGTGAAGTCTGGTGAGTCCCAGTTCGTTCTGGGCTCCATCGTCAGGATCTTCATGGAGAACTTTCTGTGAGTGAGCGGGAGGCATTTCTCTTCCCTCGAGCGGCTGCGGCCTGCCCCTTCCGCCCCGCCGCAGAAGGGCGGAAGCAGCGGAGCGGGGTGGCGCGGGTACCGGGGGCTGCGTGGGCTGGAGGAGGGAGTGCGGGAAGCGGTGTTCCCTGTAAGGTGGTGTCTTGCTCGGAGTGGGGAGCTGGGAGACACCGCTGTGTGAGTTACGAGTCCCCAGGGTTGTTAGTGCATTGTCATTTCCCTGAGGGCGCGCTCCCCGGTGCCGGCCAACCTTCCCCATAGGTGATGGCTCCTGTCGGCCGTGCAGCCTCTGTGTGCTCTTTGTCTCACAGGCAGCTGGCTGCCAAGCAGTGGGGCAGGGAAGAGTACAGAAGATGCTCGAGGGGCAGTGGGGATAGGCCTTGAGACTCATTAGGATAAGTGTAGTTTTTGCACGTGTTTTTTCCAGCTGCTGTGGACTGTGAATAACATTATTTTTGGATGTATTGTGGTTACCAGCAGAAGTTGTCGGGCCATTTTCTTACGGCTCCATGCTAGCCTTGAAAACCTTCAGTAGGGTAGTGCATGGGTCACGTGTGAGATGTTAGTTGAATCTTCAGAGACGGTAGTTTAAATTATTATTGAGAGTTCAGATACCGTCTCTTCCACAAGTACATCGTTTATAGTATTGTGTAGTCATTAACTGTTTTGTACTCCTCTTTTGGTGGTAGTGTTTCAGCTCTCCGTGTTTGGCACAGTGCAGAAATAGAGCATCAAATGATTCTGTATAAATTTAGGGTGTTAACTTGGTATGAATTTGCATGGGTGGATTTGGTCGCTTCCCATAGTTATTATTGCAGTAGGCATGCTGGATGCACATGATAAAAGATGTCTAATGCAGTTAGAAAAAACAGCAAACACTAGGGATGGGCTGATATGGTAACTCAAGAAAGCTACTACATGATCAGTTTTCTGTCTTCTTTTTGATGCATAAGACAAAATGATACCCTAGTAAGTTCAATTAAAAAGCTATTATCATATTGCTGGATTTCATTCTTCATAGTCCCTGACTGAAAAAAAGTTCTAGTGAGTACTCTGGCTGGTAGGAATGTATTTCATGGTGTTTCAGTGAAATGCTAGTTTTCACTCTTGAGACTTTCTTACAAAACAGTATTTCACAATTGAGTCCAGATGAGGTAATTATATCTGTTTAATAGAATCATAAAATGTTTCTAAGCACGTTCCTTTTTTTAAAGGTAATACAGTGTTTTAAAGTTGAGAAACGTGCTGTGTTTTCCAGAACGTACACTCTCTGTGAAGTACATCCAGGGCCCAACCTGAATGTGGTTCTAGGTGCTAATGGCACCGGCAAGTCAAGCATTGTTTGTGCCATCTGCCTGGGACTGGCTGGAAAACCGTCTTTCCTAGGGCGAGCTGATAAGGTAATTATGAGCTTTTGTGATTTTCATAATTAAGCTGAATTTCATTTAGAGTGCTGTTCAGCAGAGGATAGGGGGAAAGGCTGTATTCCTCGATTTGCTTTACTTTTATAAAAAGTAAGACATCTGAATTGAAGAGTAAACCTGGTCCAGAGACAAAGGGGGGTTGTCTTAATTAACTGCTTGCTGTCTTGTATAAATTATGAAATGGAAATACCTAAATTGTAGTGCAACCTGAGTGGACTAGATGTTTTATTTGAAGATAGCTAAGCATCCATAGTGGGGTAGAAAAATGCCACTTAATGGCCTAAACATTTGGTAAGCGGTACCAACTAAAGGAGAAACAGGCAAAGTCTAAAATAAATTCCAAAATACATAGTACATTTAGAAATAATGTGCTCCTAATGTGTCCTGAAAACTCAGCTGAGAGCATGGAGGCACTGGTCTTTGATTTAAGTGGAATTTAGATTGCTGTACTTTCATTTTTTACAGTCAAGATAACATGCATTGCTGGTGTAGTAGGAAGTTTATATTTTGAAATTTTAAAATTTTTACACTTGCTTTCTTTGATATTTTCATTGAAAACAATTTCTCTGAGTAGGTTTGGAACAATGAATCTGGGTGCCTAAATGTTTGTACATATTCTCTTGTAGCTGCTCAGTCATAAGCAAATGTCAGTATGGGAATTGACTGCATGGCAGTACTATGTGTTGGTATTTCTTTATACTATTTGTGATTTATTTTCTTACTATTAGAACTGGCAGTTCTAGTACAGATATTTGGCAGTGCCTTTTCACTTGTCTTTGTTCCCCAAATTCACGAGAACTTCTTCCTTTGCATCTGCTATTATAATCAGTTATCAGGAGGCTGAAGCTGATCAGAAATTGTGGAGAAGGTTCTAATGCTGCTTCTGGAAGATAGTAGTGTCTTCCTTTATTTTTAGTTAGTGCTTTATTTTGCTTTTAATTGTAAGTTTTCAATAAAATATGCTGTTACAGTAGCTCCATTATACAAATGTGTATTGTTGTAAGATAATACATTTTATTTCGGATTAACAACTTGTAAATTAATTTTGTAGATCGGTCTCTTTGTGAAGCAAGGGTGCATGAAAGGCGTAGTGGAAATTGAACTGTAAGTAGTAGAATTATTTCCTCGTGCACTTTTGATGGATTATTTCCCCATACAGTCATTCACAAAGTTGTGAGAAAAAAAATTGGTGTACAGAGGTCTGTCTTTAAGCTGGTGCTTTAATTTGTCCTTTTTTAATTCCCCCAGACTTCAGAACATAAAGTTCAAATAATTGTCACACAAGAAATAAGCAGTGATGGCTGCTTTCTGAAGCATTTCACCTTTCTGTCTTGATATACAAAAAATGAATAGATGAAGATAGTTCTATATGGTGTGTTTAGCTTTTGATTACATTTAAGATTCGGATGGCTTAAATTTAGTCAGTACTACCATTACTATCATCACTATGTGGTGGTTGAAATTCTTTTCATTGAAAAAAAAAAAGACAAAAGTCTTAAGTTTTAAAACAGACTGATCTGCCTTCACTTTCTTATACTAATACTGCTGGTAGGAGGGGCTTGCTTATATTTTCACTGAAGACGTCCCATACTGATAGAAAAGAAGTAAAAAAAAATTGACTAATTCTGTGTAATGCAGTCTTGCAGGTTGCAAAGCTGTTGCAAAACTAAGCAACTGGAAATAATTTGGACTGTAAAATTCCGTTAGTAGTGTCTGTGTAGGGCAATATTACGCATTTCCTTTTTTGTGGATGCTATGGCACAGGTGATTTTAATAAGCCTTAGCCTGAATGAAACAAGAAATAGAGATAGTCAGTTGATTCATAGACTGTGTTACTTTGTATAATGATTGGCCGCCCTGATCAGATTCCCTAAAAATACTTTAGGAAATTTTATTGAGGAAAAAAAAAAATACCACAGCATGTCTTGGAAAAAGTCCTGTCCATTTTTGTTATTGTGGGGGTCATCAAGTAAGACCTTCGTCAGAGACTGGACTGGCAATATGTTCAGGAGATAGGATGTCATTCAGGTCGATGGTGTGGTTGTTTTTACATAAATATATTCTGATGTTACTTGAAGGTCTGGAAAGAATCTTGCAGTGTGTGAACATTTAGCATTTCATGGCTCATTAGACTTAGCATGTCATGGTTGCAGTGTAGTTGAGTCCTTTGTCTGATTGGTAGAAAATATTTCAATGCAATATCTAGGATAGGAGGCCAGTGATGCAGAAGATTGCTTTCTTTGGTAGGAACTAAAAAATGAAGTGCTGTGGATGTGTATTACCTTTGTTGAATTTGGTCCTTGAAATGTGGCTAAACCCAAGTTATTATAGTAAAAATATGTTAATTTAATGAAAGAAAGGAGCATGGCTTTGGAAGTATTTTGAAGGAAGTCTCATAAATTAAAATGAGGTGGTGCAGCAAGTAATAATTCAGTAATCAAGAAATAGGATCATATCCCTCTGGCGTTTACTCCAAACACCGGCAGCATGTGTTTACTCACTTCTGCACTGACCGCTGTTCTTAAATGTCCTGAGGTACATGGCCACTCTACAAGCCTATATTCTCCATCCTTAGCAGTGTGCTTAACAGGCACTAGACAATTTCTGAATTAAAATGGTAAACCACAATTCCAGGAGTCTGACATAGTTTTTATTGCTGCATCTTAACTAGACTTAATTTTTGAAAATACATATTGAGCTAGAAAACTAAATGAAAACTAGTGTATCTTTAGTGTTTTTTAAAAGCAGAAAATGAAAATAAATTAGTATTTTTTTGTGTTGTATGCTATTTTTTTTCCTCAAATGGAATATATATAGCTTACTGATGTATTTTTGTGCACTAATATTTAGAGATGTACTGCACCTCCTTCACACCAATTTTAAAACTTAATTTTAACAATTAAGTTAAAATTTTAAGATTTAAATTAAGTTTAGAACTTAATTTTAAGAATTAAAAACCACATTTTTAACAACTTGTGTTTCATGCATTCAGCATGAGCATCTCATTTATATAAGTAACTTCTAAGTTAAGATTTGCATATATTCTTTATGTCTCTCATGTGAGTTTAATTCATCATTGAAGTACTGTATGTTTCCTGTATCATGAAAATGAGAATCTGATGCTATGGTCCAGTTAACTTAGATTAAATATTTTTTGACACTTTGTAACCTTTGAAAGTGTAACATTTTTCAGGTATTCTTGAAAGTGTAAACACTTCTTTTTTTTAATCAGGTTTAAGTCACCAGACAATATTATTATCACACGTGAGATTTATGTGGTGAGCAATGCATCAGTGTGGTTTATCAACAGAAAACCAGCAACCCTGAAAACAGTAGAAGAACAGATTGCAGCCTTAAACATCCAGGTGGACAATTTGTGCCAGTTTCTTCCTCAGGTATGAATTAAGTTTGAAAGATAGTGGGTGCAAATGGAGTACTTTGCTTTGAGAGGATTTTGTTGCTGCTTAGCATTAGCAGCGTTTCAGCTAGCTCAGTGGGACAGCACAAAGAACAAGAAGAATGAGGCAGCCATGCTGGTGTGATGGTGAAAAGAGGAGCTGTGTGACCTTTAAAGTTCTGTAATTGGACAATTTTGTACCTGTTGACTCTGAAAGGAAAGATGCTGATGTTCCCTGTCTTGGTTTTCAAGTAGCAGAACTTGCTAATAGGGCCTTTCTGGTAGCGTCAGAAGTTTGTTGAGCATAGGGCTTAAAGATGTATGGGATTGAATTATGTAAGAGTAGAATTATCCTAATGGATAATAAGCCTTAAAGGAGAGAGAATATTAAAGAATACTGCTGGCAGTTTCTGTATTTGAATGAATGTTTGAGCAGGTCAGGATTTGATGCGGTGCTGGATTTTTTCCCCAGCCAGCTCCCGGCACCGAGCCCAGAGTGGGCTGCTCCTGGATAGCAGGGCAGTTTAGGGCTGATGCTCTACAGCACTGGCTGTCCAGCGTCAAGGGCAGGAGCAAGGACGAGGGAGAGGTCTTCCATGTGGCTTCCAAAAGGGATTTATTCTCTTGAAGGTTCCAGGGAAGAAAGACAAAAGATACAGGGGGGTACAGCAACTTATATATGGGGCGTGTACAAATAATAAACAAACAGGGAAGACTTAGGGGAAGAACACAAGGCGGGGTTACATAATACATAAACCAGTGGGGAACACAAGGGGAGGAGAGTGGGGCACATGGGCCAATGGGGCTTGGAGAAATAGGGGAATTCCAAAGGGGGCGGTCCAGGCGGGGGTTGACTTAAGGGAGGATTGACAACTTAATGGGAGGGGGAACAGGGAACTTTCGGGAACAAGGGGCAGGTATCAGGGTGGATTGGCAACTGGGGTAGGAAGGCACAACTGAGACCAAAGTATTAACATGGGGGGGGCAGGGGGGGAGGTACAACTTAACAGTAAAGAATGTAATTGAATCAAATATAATGAACAACAATGCACCACAACAAGGATTCCTGTGCAGTACATACTTAAGTTGCTTCACATTGCCTTAAAGTTGTGACATGTTCCTTCCCAGTTCATATGGAGCATCAGGAATGGTAGTAAATAGAAACCTTATCAGAGCCTAGCCATTGGGTTATTGTTGAGTTCAAGAAGACATGCAGAGGAGCATTAAAGTTTAGAAAGCTAATACTGCAGAAACAAAAATAGGCCAGATGTTTGATGGTTCATTTTCACTTGCATACAGTATTTGTTTGGAACTTCCAGCATACTCTGGTAACATAACTTTGTATTTAAAAGAGCTTTTTCTCTTTAGTACTTAAGTGTCAGTTCAATCAATATTAGTGTTGATAGTTCCGGTTTATTCTGGTTCTCCCAGTATATCAACAGCAAGCACATTTCTTGCGTCAGTCTCAGTTTTGAGCTCTTCTTCTGCCTTCAGCAGCAATACTTCCTAGTACTCTTGGCTGCCAGCTTTAATAATAGCTTCTGTGTGGCTTAACTTCTGAGTTAGTAATAGTATTTATACTGCAAAAGATTTATACTGCGAGGTTGCTTCAGCAGCCTGAGAACAAATGCTCTGGAAGGTTTGGTTGCTATTCCGTGAGATGGTCATTAACTATGACAGAGTTATTTAGCATAGAACTTTTACGTCAGGTGATGTTTGTGAGAAGTATGTTTTGGTGTATAAATCTTGTATTGCACTGTTTCAGCTAATTTCTAATTATAATTTTTATTGTTTTATATAATTTTAACTATAATAGAATTATATACTTAATTATTAATAACTATATTTTTTAATATTATTAACATTTATTAATATAACTCCATTAATGTAGTTATTCTAATTTTTATTTTTATATATAGTTATTTACATTTTTAATAATTTTTTGTAACTTTTAAAAATTTTGTAGGACAAAGTTGGAGAATTTACAAAACTGAGTAAGACTGAGTTGCTTGAAGCCACGGAAAAATCCATTGGTCCTCCGGAAATGTACCAGTTTCATTGTGAATTGAAAAATTTCAGAGAAAAGGAAAGAGAACTAGAGGTAAATACACTCTTTAGAGAGCAAGGAATATAGGAAAAGTGAAATAAATTTTACCCTGACATGTTACAGAATTAGAAAGTGGTATTTATTTACAAAGTCTGTGCTAAGTTGATTTTACCAAGTAATGCTTGTCTTCTCTCAGAACTCATTCACTCTGACTCAGTCACATGCTTGTGTGTGAATGGTCCAGACCCAGAAGATGAGGCATGTCTGTCGTCAAATACTCCTTGCTTCTCTCTAGGCATTTGACTGGCAACAACTTTCATAGACAGATCTTTTATGTCTTTTAAAAGTTATTGGCTAATGACCAAGCATGGTCCTGTGCTTTAGTGTTGCTCACTTCCTTGAAAATGAAGAGACAGACTTCGGAAAGGAAAAGGACCAATGTTCTGGGAACAATGTCTGTCCTTAGCCATTCAGCCATTCTTTTAATCCTTTGTTTGTCTCTTCTGTCTTTTTGGATGGTTCTCCTCTAGTGTTAAATTTCTGCTTTAACGTACAAGCGAGATGTAGACTATTTTCTGAGAACTATTTAGGTACTGTAAAACATGAAAATATATATTACAGAACTTGTGCAGAGAAAAAACCACCTCACTGGAGAAAATGAAACAGAGGGTTGAACGGTACAAGCAAGATGTTGAAAGATACCATGAATGCAAGCGCCATGTAGATTTAATAGAGATGCTTGAGAGGAAAAGGCCATGGGTGGTAAGTTTAATTTCCAGTGTTTTTCTCACTTAACCCATTTCCTGTAAGACTGTGAAATTAAAAGTAGGCCAAAAGTTGCTTTAGAAGAAGTGTGACCAGAATAATTTAAATATCTTTACAGTTGTACAGTTCAGATAGGCCAGGTCTTGAAATTCTGTAGCTTCCAGTTGGTCTTTATGTAACAATATTATTATTATCATTGTCATTATCATTATTTATTACTGTTGTAGTAATAATAAACCCCTAGGCTTGAAATTAGCTAGGCATATGTTCTGAACTGGGGACTTTCTTTAGTGCATACAAAGTCAAATAGCATTCCATTCCTCTGTCCCCCTGCATACATGAATCTACTCCTCTCTCTGGTCCTCTGAATATCTTACTTTTTTTTTTTGTGAACCCTTCACAGTCCTGGAACATATTGTTGTCTTATGTTTCTTTGGGGGTGGGGGGCTGGGGAGTGGTTCCCCTTATTTTTTTTTCCTTCCTTTTTTAATGTTTTTTCTCTCCAGAGTATAACATACACGCAAAAATCACTTACAATGACTCCTTCAGCTTAAACTACATTCTCTACAAAAATTCCCACCCTCTCAGAGTGGAGGTTCTTGGTCATCATACTGCTTACCATCTCTTTTCTCTCATGAATATATCTTCAGTTAAACTTCGTAGATAGCAATAGCTTTGGTATTTATGATGTGTGGTGGAGTTTTTGTTTCCAGAAAGCGTTTCACTCTGTCCCCTTGGTTTACTTCAGCAGTGGTTGTGTCTGTTACTTGCTATGACAATCTGTCCAGCTCCTTTCCTTTCCTTTTCTTTTCTTTCTCCTGAAATTGTGGTTATTTGTTCCTTAGCTTTTAGACTCTTACCTAAGTAGTCTCAAACTATGAATTGAGAGGGGTAAGGAATTTTTCCATAATCCCAGATGTACTTAGAAACAAGGTAGTTGCAGACAAATGGGTTGTTTCTTCTGCTAGTTGAATTTTATATTATTTAGGGTGTCCTTGTTCACTTTGGGTGGAATGGTCTCTACAATTCCTGGTCATTGGAACTAGTAGCAGTATTACTTATGTGGTTGCTCTAATACTAGTTTCTGAAAGAGATTTTTTTTTCTAAAACTCATGAGCAGTTAAATAAACTGGAATAGAATGCAGAAGTTTTTTATTGTTTTACTTTAAACTGCTCCAAGGAATATGAAAATGTTCGTGAACAGCATGAAGAAGTGAAACAAAACCGAAACCAAGTTAAGAAAGAACTGAAGAGTCTGAAAGAAATGCATGCCCCGTGGACAAAAAAAATCCAAGAAGCTGAAGAAAATTTAAAGAATCTGGATATGAAAACCAGAGATAATGTAGGTATTGAAGTTCTTGTTTAACATAGGTAGTACTTCAGGTGTTCTGTGTTCAGCTTTGTAAAATGTGAAGTAATAACCTCTTTTTTTCTAGTGTGTCATAATGATGTTTCAGCAGAAATTTTCCTGAAGCACCTGTGCCTTTGGTTCTCAGTGCCTTTCCCGTGTCTGTTCAGGGAATACATTCCTTAGTAAGCCTTCAGTAGCAATTCTTCAGTCTTCTCTTGTTTTTGTAAAAGCAAATCTTAAAAATTCTCCTCATTGTACATTAAAAATCTTCTGGGATATAATGTTAATAGTTTCCCCAAGTTAGGTACTTCCATTGAATTAGATGTCTGCTTTCATCTGTTCTGTAGTTTGGTTTTGTGTATGCTTGCTCCTCTTACCTTCTTAAAACGTGGTTTATTTAAGATAAATTGCAACTTTGCGGGCCTAAAAGCATTCCTCTAATATTGAACAAAATTTCATAAGGAGGACTTGTTTTTTTAATTAGATGGTAATCTTCCATCAGTTATGAATATTTTTATGCATTGATAATTAATTTAATGGTAAATCTACCTATATGTAGTAGTTTACGTAAGTTTCTTGAACAGCTGTTCTTCCTGGGTTTATGGAAAAAATATTATTTGCATATGAAAAATAACAGGACTATAATTCCCTGCAGGATTTTAACTATTATTTATATTCAGACTGCAGAAGTCATTGTGTGCAAAAGCTGCACAAATTTGCAGGGGATAACCAAAGTTAAATGATCACATGAGAATGTTTGTTTGCTGCAGTGAGTACTGTTTGAAGGTGAGTGACCTGCTCAGAGGGGTTGATGTGGAGACATGTGACACCTGTAGAGGACTGCTGCCTTGAAGCATCTCTTAGAATGAAGGTCTGAAACTTCAGTGGCATTTAATACACTGTGAGCTAATAAGCTGGTCATGTGCTTCCTCTAAAAAAAAAAAGCCAAAACACGCACCCTTGCCCCAAATGACAAACAAACCCAAAACCAAACCAGAAAGACCAGACAAAACACTCCTACAGATTGTTGTTCACAACACTGTTGTTTTTGTTGTGATAAACACTGCACCAACAATATCAAGTACCTCAAGAATACTCAACTACCTCATAATTATAAGAAAGTTCTTTGGTAAAAGTATTTAGGTTTTTTGTCCCTGAGTTTATTATGCTGTGAGGCAAAATACTGAAATGTTCCAAAATGTTGCAGGCGTACTGCAGCCACCTTTTTTTGGTGTGGTTGGGCTTTTTGTTTTGAAGGTTTTTGTTGTTTAAGGGTATGTGTACTTTCTTAGAGTAAAGTTAACGTCTGGAAGCTTGAAATTTTCATAATGGAACAGTGCCTTCCTGCTTGTGAATTGCTGAACTTTGTTTTCCCTGCTAGGTCTTACTCTGTTAGGCTTTACTCCTGTATCAAGCTACTGCGTTTTTTTCAAACAGGGAAGAGTTCTATTTAACCATTGGTACCACTGTTATTGGAAGTATTGGGCTGAATTAATATAACAGTAACCTTTTTTGTTAAAGGTTGTACTTCGTTTCTGTGAGAAATCTAGGACAAACAGTGATCATTTCAGTTTTAGCTTGCAGGGAGCTTGCTCAGTATAGGCACTTCCTACAAAACAGTGGAAGGAAACCTGAGGGAATGTACAAGATGGTTCATTTATACACTTGAATCATAATTTTTTTTCTTTCCAATCTAAACTTCTTTAGTAAAGCTTTCATATACCGTATATTCAAAAGGTTAACCATATGCTGAAGTGTTGCTTAATTTATGTCTGGAAATTGGATTAGGTACATTTGTTCTACAGTATTTCAGAAGACAAAAATACAGGAAGAGGATAAATTTAAAATAAGTAATTTATAGAAGACTTACTGAATTACTCTAATATGGCTTTCCAGTGATGTTTTACAGTTTCCTATCTTAATTATAACTGATACTATTATGTATATAGTACTATAGTAAGACACTTCCAAACCCTTCATTTCTGATGTTAAATTATATGTCCAGGTCTAATTTGAATGATTATTATTTTGTCTTGAACTCAGAGTCCAGAATTGCGGAAAAAAGACGTAAGGGAATATATTATATATGTGGTTATGGGATGAACTATTTGTAAGATACCAGGCAAGTTAAGATCTGAGAGGTGTATTGCTGCTTTTTGAACTTTCGTGACAGTAACTTTTTTTCAGGTCCTGAAATCTTTTTCCCTCACACATGCTTTCAGAGTTGGGCTGTTGAAATGTCCTTGGAAATGAGAATTAGTGCTGGTTGCACTGTCAGGAGATAGTTTTGACATGATGTGGAAGTGCAAGACTTAAGTAGCTTAGAATGGCTTAAGCTGCTTTGTCTTCGTTAGTTCCTCACCTTTTCATAGACTGCTTGAATTTTTTGTAACTTGCAGTTCTATCTTTGTACAAATGCAGGCATTTGGCAAGAGTTTCACAGGTAATTATTCTGTAATCAAGAAGGAGTTGATTAGTTTTAATTTGGCATTAAGGGAAAGCAGTTTAGTGTTTTAAGTCTGCTCTCACAGACCTATAAGGAGTATAATTCTCTTCAGACCTTTTGCTCCAGACTTACATCAATTCTCAAATGACTATTATTCTTACTGCTTCTTGACATGAGGATATATATGTGAGAGCAGAAATAATCACATCTTCATTCTGTCTTTCTTGAACTTAGTTAGCAAAAAGCCCAGTATGGAGTATTAATTTTGTCTGGAAGGAGCTTAACAGCAAGGAAAACTGGAATAAATCTGGGAATTACATTAATTAATATATTCAGACATTACATGACTTTTTCTCCTGTCTTTTTTTTGTTAAAACCCTTTCAATTTCTGGGTTAGATTGAAAACTTTTACTAACACTTGGTATTTTGAATTGTATCATGTAGAATGTGGAAAAAAGAAATTGACCATTTGGAGAAAAAGTTTGATGAAATGGTGTATTTCCAGAGCAGTTTGTTCAGGTATTTTAAAGGCATTTGAACAGAGTTAACTATGCAATGCAATTTTTTAGCAATATTTTATAGTGTAAAGCAGTCTTCTGTGGTTGTACAATTAAAATAATAAAGACAATTCTAGTTGTTCACCTATTCTGTAGGTAGGTATATATATAAACATATGGGTGAATATACAATGATAAATGAAAAACAGAATTCCAGTTCCTTACTTGTGTCCTATGCTTGAGAGCCTTCAGAATTGTTTTGTGAGCATTGTACATCGGTTTCCTAGCTGAGAGCTTCCTCTTCAGACTGCCTCCCTGAGCTCTTCAGAAAAAGCATCACAGAGTCAGTACCTTATAGCAGTCAGCTGCAAGATCCAGATGTATTTCTTCTGTGTTGGCTTTATGTAAACCTCCTGTGTAAGTCTTAAAACTTTTGTGCTTTTTTGAGGTTGTGGTAGGGAAAATTCTGCATGGTTTTATTTTCTTCATTTTTGATGCATCTTAATGTTTTCAGTATAACTTTGTGTAGGATGTTTCTTCCAGTGAGAATGCTGTGTTTGTTTCTGTGTCTGCACTGGAATGTACTTCTAGTCCTTCCATCCTTCTGCAGTGTTCCAGCATTCTCTTTGTGGTGCTTCAGCCTTTAGGGTTCAGGGAGGGAGGAATTCAGTTTTCAGGGAAAGGATAGTGTACGTCCCCTGTGTTCATAATTCAGCTGTGAGAGTGCCTGGGCAGCTTAACCCCATAAAACATGCTCTGAGAAGGGATGGGACTGGGTGATGCCAAGAAGTTCCTTCCAACCTATATTATTCTTCCACTTTGTCGAAGCTGAGGATAGAGAAGGAGCCAAGACATGGATGTCTACACATGAGCCAACAAGTTGTCAAGCTCAGTTGTGTAGGATCTAGCTCTAGCACATTGTGTTTCAGAGGTAGGATGGCTTGGACGAAACCTCATTTGGCCATCCTGTGCCTAGGAGTTTAAGCCTTACTCACTCTTCAGTATCACCTTTCTTTGCAAAGTTGGTTTGGAGAAAGAGGCAAGAATATTTTATAATTGTAGGGACCTGAATGTAACATTTGTATTGAAATCAAGGATGTAGTTATTTTAACTTCAGATTAGGGACTTCCTCTATATGTCATGCCTGAATTTGCAGACACAGCTGATTGGTTGTGAACAGTACAGTACGTATGTGATTATACCAGTCTTCACAAATTGCTGAATTTGTACATGCTACAGACACAGTTAAGAAAAAGAAATGGGTAAGTATGACTTTGTCAGTAGTAAAATGCAGTGTACATACTTAGTTGTGCATATAGAAGATGTTGTTCAAAATCTGACTACTTTTTATAAATATAACTGAGTTTATGACTGGAAATTTAAATATTTTGCTTTATGCAGACTGCTGAAATCAGAAATATTTCCCAGAAATGCAAAGAGAAACAAGATGCTTTGGAGATGAAAGATAAACAGGTAAGAATCTTGCTGTCTGACATTTTTTGGTGTTTGTTTTTGGGTTTTTTTGTCTGCTCTTCTGTTAGCACAGTGGCAAATTTCTATGAAGATGCTGCAAGTGCTTGCACTCTTTACTCCCTCCAGTACACAACATATCTTTAGAACTCTAATCAGTCAAACAGGAATTACTAAGAGAGAGGTGTATACTGCATAAAATAAGCTGCCTAATAAAATAGACAGTGTGTGTGTGTATTTTGATAGACAGAGATGTATACGCACAGGTTGCTTTTGATAGGCTTTCCTTGAAAAGCTGCAGCCTCATTAGTGATTTACTCAGCACTTAGTATGCCCTTTAGATGAGAGACTGGGGCTCTTGTTTCTAAGGATATACATCTTGCATCTTGTAAAAGAAACGTCCTTGCTAGTATGTGAAACAGTCTCATCTAAGCACTTGGTGAAGAAATGTATAAATGAAATGTATGAGGCTGCAGAGTCAAAACTTCAAAGTTGGGTTTGGGCTATAGATTTTACTTTATCATGGACTAAGCTTCAGATGTACTAAGTAACTGTTAAGCAGTTTATTAACTTTCAAGTTTCTGCTTTTGTGAAAATGAAGAAAATTAAAAAATTGATTTATAAGTTTGTATTTTTGCTTATGTCCTTCAACTGCCATAGTACAATAGGAACTGTGTCATAGTGCTGCTGGAACTGTAGCAGACTCTAGGGGTTTGGCGGCATTTAATAGCAGTTATGTCATTTAATAATGGTTATGTCAGCATTTAATAGCAGTTGCACAGGTATACTAGATATATGTTGTAGGTTCTATATACCAAAATAATTTAATGTTGGAAATAATCAAAATTTTTAGATTGAAGAAATTAATCAAGCATTCAGAATGAAAAAAGATGAAGAATCAAACAGGCAGAAGAAAATAAACCAAACTCAAAAAATAATAGAGGAGTGGCAGAATGAGCTGGATACAATGGCAGTCTGTGAGAATCTTCAGCCACAAATTGATGCTGTTAATACTGAGCTGAGAAGCCTACAAGAAGAAAGGGCAAATATTGATAATGATGTCAGTGATCTAAGAGCAGAAAAAAGCAACCAAGAGCGGGAAGAGAAAAGTAAGTAACGTAAGGGGTTTTTTGGTCAATTTATTTTAATGAATCTGCCTGTCCTGCTGTAGTGAAATAATGAAAGGTGTTTATTTACTTCAAGCCTCATAGTTGGAATACATGTATAGCAGTCCTCTTTCTTGTTACTGGTTTTATTAAAAGTAACAACCACTTTCAAAATTGAACAAGAAGATTCAAAAGTAACAATTAAACTGTTAAACTAAAACTATCCTTTAAAGAATCGGTATTTCTCTGCGTTAAGAGACTTCTTTGGTAGTTTGGCGATTTGGGGGGGGGGGGGGGGATTTTTTTTGTTTTAAAGGAGGGTGTGTAGTTAGCAGGTTGTGAAAAACGATCCCAAACCTGATGGAGAAAACAGTATTTTAGAGGCAGTATTTTAGCATACATCATATATTATATGCAGTATATTAGCTGCTGATGCTGCATTTGTCCTTCTTAGATAAACTTTAGCTAACCTTAATTCTGGAGTTTCTTTACATTTGTTTGGGATTTACAATCAGTCCTTTCTAAGAAATGAAATTAAAAAATTGAAGCTTGACAGATGGTGAGGGTGTTGTATACATATTCCTCAGTGAATGTTGGTTATTTGCACATACTTGTCTGGCGCTTAACTTGCCATAGAAACAAGAAGAAACTGAGGTAGAGAGTCCAAGTGACCTGGGGAAGGAGACATATTTTACCTTGAACAGCACAAAATTCTCGGGTTTTGAGCTGTCTTTTCTGAATAGCAGATGCTTTAATGCGCAGTCTATTGTCACACATTTTGGCTTTTGCCAGCGTGAAATAACACAGATATTTCACATTACTAGTCCTACTGTCTCTTTCCTCTGAGGATGTTTTTAAGTACAAAGGTAGAACAAGTCTTGAAAAAACATACTTTTAGGGCAAAATTCCTGTATTTTTACTGTGCCTACATATTTTGTAATTCCTTGGCAAGTTTTTAATTCTATTTTAGATTTTAAGCTTTAAGCTTTTATAGTTCTTCAGATTTCTTCAGAAGTAGCAGCATCTCAATTCTGGAAATGGAAACTTAGTTCCTATAATTTACTAACAACCTTAGTTTTGGAGGAGTGTAGTCAGTAGATATCAAAAAATGTTGGTTATAATGTGTTCTTGCTGTGGACTCTGTTTAAGAAACTACCTTAAATTACAGGAATAATTGATCGCCTTGGACAACTTAATAATATAATGCATATGAAGGAAGAGAACCTTAAAATGAGATTCCGAGACACACACTCTGCTCTTATGTGGCTAAGAAACAACAAAGACAAGTTTAAAAAAAAAGTTTGTGAACCCATGATGCTTGAAGTAAGATGATTTACTTGCATACCGCTCTGTTAATGTTCAAATTATTTATGTCTCACAAGGCTTCAAGAATGACTGAAAGACTTCTAAGACACATCTTGAAATGTCCTGCCAAGTACATTCAGGATATTCATCGTTAGAATTCCATAGGCAGTGTAGTAATTGAGTAAGGTGGGATGGCTCCTTTCCTCCATAAGAAGAGGCCTGTTGCAGGTTTCGTCTAAGATACAACCAGTTATTATCCAGTCTTACTACTTAAGACTTTACTTCTTAGTTGCTGCTTAAAAAGCAGTAATAGTTGCCAACTGAGTGTCTCCCTTTACAGCACACCCTGCTCAGCTGTGGTTACTTCTCTCTGTGATCTCCGAGTGGTTTTTTTGGTTTGCTCTACCTGGCCATCAAGAGACAGAAATCTATTGCTAGTTTTGTTTTTTGGTTTGGTTTCATAGCTGCAGTACTATCTAGGAATAGCAGGGCTAAATTTTCAAAGAGGATGTTACTTTTTTTAGAGTGTTCCTCCTCTTGTAATACATGCTCCATGTAATGTGAAGAGGATGAAGATCTTCAGTTGCACTTCTTTTCAAAATTGCAAACTGACTTAATAATGTATTGCTACAACTTAAATTAGAATATCAGAATATTTATATACAAATTATTATGCTTTGTACGTGTACTGGGACTGCTCAAAATTGCTTTCATTTAGAATAGAATCCCAGGTATTTCTTATTACCAGAATTTTGATTTCTTCCTAAAAGACCACATCAAGATAAATTTATAAATGCTTTGATAAGAATATCTTTACTTAAGGCCTCATTAACCTCTGTAACATCAATTAATGTGTAGGTTTGTTTTCTCTGTGTCAAGGTGTAACCCCAGCCATCAGTCAAGCCCCAGACAGCTGCTCAGTCACTGCCCTATCTGCAAAATCGGGTAGAGAATCAGAAGAGTAAAAGATTAGGCAATTCACAAGATGAGATAAAGACAATTTAATAGAGAAAGCAAAAACCATGCACTTGAGGAAAGCAAAACAAGGAATTAAGTCACAGATAGGTGTTCAGCCATCTCCAGGAGAGCAGGGGCTCATCACATGCAACAGTGAGTTGGTGTCCTGGTTTTGGCCAAAGACGTAGTTAAACTTTTGTAATGCTTGAGGGCATGTGTGGCTGGTGGGATGTGGCCAGACCCTAATTTGTTCCATATTATCTCACCTTGTTGCTAGGAGTGGGGGAAAGAGACTCTTGCTTTTGAGAATGGCATCCCTTTCAGGCTGGGAAAAGTCACTGTGGAGAAGAGGCAGATAGTATTTGTTGGGGGCTTTCAGTGCAAATTGTTAATCTTAAACCTTTTACTGTTAAAACTGTTGCAGTTACTGGTTGCTTTCTTATCTTAATGCTGTTTCCAGTAAATTATTCTTATGTCAACCCGTGATTTTCACCTTTTTGGCTTCTAGTTCTCATTTCCATCCTGCTGGAGCAGGAAGCAGGGAGGGAACATGGGGAGTGAGCAGTAGCATGGTTTTAGTGGGCCTTCTAAGTTGAAGAGTACCATTCCTAAACTAGGACATTTGGGAAGCCATCACTCTAAATGTACCTGCTTCCTTCTTTCCCTCAAGTTATATAATGGGCATGATGGTCTGGAACATCCCTCTGGTCAGTTTGTGCCACCTGTTCTGGCTGTGTTTCCTCCCAGTCTTCCATGCACCCCTACCTTACCACTGTGGCAGAATGAAGAGCAGAAGGGGCCTTGACTCTCTGTAACCTCTGCTCAGAAATGATCAATCATCTTGGTATTATGAACCCTCTGTTCAGCACATATCCAAAACACAGACCCATACTAGCCACTGTGGAGAAAATTAACTCTACCTAGGCCAAAACCAGTACACTTTGCTATCATGTAAATTGTGTATTTAAAAATTCCTGCTTTCAAATTGCTGTTAGTTGTACCCAGCCTTTGGCCAATTTGAGATTATTAAATGATGTAGTTCTGTGTAACTTGGCCTTTGTGTGTCACGTATAGTGACATAATGTTCGAATTACTAGTGAAAGTTAACTGAAAAACACAAACATTAACATTTCATTCAGATTTGGAAATTTTCGTCCATTTTAAGCGTGTGGGGTTTTTTTCTTAGGAATTCAAAGACACGTCAGCTTGAGGAGTGTGGTGTTTTGCTGATTGAAAAACCCTTACCAGTGCTGGAGCAGTGCCATTAGACATAAGATGGGGGTAGTTGCGGTAGTAAGGTCAGGATGGAGAAGATGGAGGGATGGTATGGTGAGAGATGGTGATAACTTTGGGAGTGCTGGAAAAGGATATGGATGACTAAAAATTAAGCACAGTGATCTGTGACTTATCACAGGTTTCTTCCCAAGAGAATTGGTTGCAGTAAAGGAAGAAAATTTATTTTTAGAGTTTTCTTGTTCTCATTAAATGTAGGTGTGGCTATCATCTTGACTATTTTAAAATGTTTTTTGGGGGTGGTAACTTGAATTTTATTAAATCACTTGCTCATTATCTTTCTTTATTAGATCAATGTGAAAGACAGTAGACATGCAAAATACATTGAAAATCACATTTCGGCCAATGATATGAAGGCTTTTGTTTTTGAGAGTCAAGAAGATATGGAAACATTTCTGGTGGAGGCAAGTTGGCACCAATTTTAAAACTTTATTGTACTGAAGTAGGAGCCCTGAACTTGGGAGTTCTACCAAGTAAATTTGTATGACGATAGATATCTATTTCATAACAAGTATATAATGCAAAGTGCTCGAAGATTTTCTTCATAATTAAGGTTTTCTTACAGCTTAGAATAACTGGAGGGATGCAGGAATATTAAGAAAATGCGGTTTTTTAGGTTGTTTTCCTCTGAAAGGCAATAATCACTTGAATAGAAAATACTGTGTACAAGAAAATGGCTAGAATGAAAATCTACAAATTTAGTACCAAAATTTTCCATTAGCCTTTGACTAAAGAGGCAGGAGGCATATTTTTTGACATGCAGTGGTCCAAGCATCAAATCGTGCTTGTATTTCATAATACTGCTGTCTCCTGAATCAGTTAGAAGATTGTTCCTTTTGAAAGCCAGGCAGATGATGCAGGAGGGAAAAAACAGAAGATGTGGTATTAAACTGTCACAACATTTCCCAGCTACAGTCAACACAACAGTGTATTTAGTAACAAACTGTCCTGCAATTTTTGAAGACTCATCTACTCTTCACAGAAGTTAATCACTTCTTTATACCTGAGCAGCACTGGTGATACCTCAGATTCTGGGGGCTTATCTTGCTTGTGTGGTTGTGGAACTCAGTTCAAGGCTACTTTAACCAGCTCAACTGACAGTTCACTTACATGATTAGCTCTTTAGACTGAACACTTAGCTCTGGATTTTTTTGATTGCTTTTATTTTCTGTAGCACATAGTGTTTTCAGAGATGTTAATAGAGTTTGCTTTTAGAGAGCTTGGTTATTTCTGAGTCAGAGTGAATTTGTGAATTCTTCCAGAGGTCATCAGTTGAAAATAATTCTGACTCTGTCGATCAGTAATTAGTATTTTATTTTTATATGGTGAATTTTTCTGGTCTTTACCAAATAATCTAATACAATCTAAATATAGGTGCGTGATCATCAGAAACTAAGAGTGAATGCTGTATGTGCACCTGCTGAATCATGTGCTGAAAATTTACCTTCAAGACCTATTGAGGAATTACAGTATGTATCTGAATGTATTGTGGAAATGGTTTTAAATGCAGTGGGTTTGTTTTTTGCTATATATTAGAATTTTTTATGCAACTCAAATTATCGTCAGTTCAGTTGTGGGTTAGTGGGACTTCTTTCTGACCCTGCAGTAACTTCAGCTTGCTTACCTGCTGAATGTGATTTGTGATGCGTGTTTTTCTTTTTCTCTCTTCTTCAGCCCATACGGGTTTTTTTCATATTTACGGGAGTTATTTGATGCTCCTCCCTCTGTGATGAGTTACCTTTGTTACCAGTACCGTGTTCATGATGTTCCTGTGGGAACAGAGAGGACCAGAGACATGATTGAAAGGGTGAGGTATCTGAAAAAGCACAAACATACCTGTGGTGTGGAGTTTTATTTTGGAAATTATTTAGCAACTAAATGTGTAGAACGCAAAAAAATGCTTTAGCAATTTTATTTATCCTCTTTATTTTCCTTGTCGAAGTGAGAACAGTTCATTATGCGCTAACATATTGCAAGACATTTTAACAAATTCAGTCAACCTGGTTTTTCACAGAATATAGCTGATGCTGTATATATAAGCTGAACAATATTTTTAGTCAAATGTACCTTGTCCTGTGGAGGCTTTTTGCTGTTTTTGGTTTAGTGGACATTTTTTCTCTTCATGTGTCTTGAGTTTTGGTAAATCTTTGGTTATTTATAGTATCCTTTTTGACATCAGTAATTTAGAACTAGCAGCTCTGCTATTTTTATACCTTCTTTTTTCGTACAGGTGCATTTGCTTGTTATGTATATATATATATATATATATATATATATATATACACACACACATTACAGGTCACTTTGTGGTTTCATCTGTTAATTCTTGAGTACTTTCTTTCCTTATTACCAGGATGCTTGTGTAACATACTACAGATTTGGAGCAAATACAGTCCATGTTCAGTATGCACTACAAATGCTGTCAGTTTTTATTGGTGTCTCTAGTATCTTAACAATCAGACCTGTTCAACTAGTTATGATAATATACTCTTGACAGTATCTCAACAGTTCTTTGCTGACCAATTTGAATTACAAGTATAATGATGCATTAATCTTAGCATCTTTTTGCAAGAGTTAATAAGTAGGTCTTGCATAAGCTGAAGTTTTTTTACTGTGTTTATCAATCACATTTATTCCTTGTTCTGAGAAGTATTGCTTTAAGTGTAATGCTTTTGTCAGATTAATATTTTTCTGTATTTCTTAGGTCATAAAGGAAACCAATCTGAGGCAAATATATACAGCAGAAGAAAGATACATTATTAAATTATCTTCTTACACAAAACAAAACCTCTCTAGTAACATATGCTTGAGGGAGGCACAGTATCTCACTAGTTCAGTGGATATGGATGAAAGAGGACAGTTGGAAAACCAACAACAGGTAGAAACATATTTCTGTAACTGTAAATGTAATGAACTACTACCCATTTTATCATGCATTAAGCACAGCCTACTTGCATATGTTAATATGGTATGCAGTGACAATGCTAGTGGTGCATGTTCTTTTATTTCAGGACATTGGTAATACATTAAAATCCTTGGATGCACGTTTGACTGCACTGTTTGACAGACAGAAACTTCTGGAACAAAAGGACAATAAGCTCAGGCAAGAGAAGAAGGAGCTTTTAGAGAGAGGAAACCGGAGGAGGCAGTTGGAATCAAAAATTGGTGTGAAGTATGATAGGTAGGAAACAAGCTATGTTATCTATGAAAAAATCTGTGATATCTGTGTTACCATTTTAAAAGCAAAGATATTTGATTTCTCTTACTGCAGTGTGTTTTTACCCTTAGTAAAAGTAACCAGTAGTTGAGCATCAGATACAGGTGATAATCAAGACAAGGAAGATATTTAGAAATTACGACAGTATCTAAAACATGTAGCAATGTTCCAGATGATTTTCTGTAATAATATTGTAGAATTCCAGTTAAATATCACTGCATGTATTTACTCAATTATTAGATTATTGTTCTGACTTTGTAGCGCATATCTAGATAATACCGTAATGTGCATAAATGGTACTAAGTTAAGCATATCAGGGATTGAGTAAGACCCCAGTTGTCCATAGTATTATTCATTGCATATATTTGTTTTTGTGGGCCTCCGCAATTAGTTTTTCTGTTACCCTTTCTCATAAGTCAAAATCTGGACATGGTTCAGCAGGTATTCTGTTTAAGCAGACACTCCAAAAGGCGGTGTAGCCAACATTAATATCCAGTCTGGACTTCACTTGTTTCAACTTGGGAACACTGTCTATCAATTCTTCTACTATGCACCTCATAAGAGAGCTCTGTTCCATCCTGTCAGTGGTTTCCATGGTGGAACAATATGTGGCTGTTGTTATTAGTCTCTTGTATATGGTGAACACAGCACCCTCATCCTGTGATGTAGAGCATGTGCTGTAGCCCCTGACCATCTTGATTGCTCTCTAAGCTTGTACCAAGTTGTTGAGGTTTGACACAGTGGTCCAAACTGTGTGCAGTGCTGAACAGAGAGGAAAAGTCACTGATCCTGCTTGTGCTTCTACTCATACAGCCAAGGACTGTGTTTGCTGCCATGGTGCACTGCTTGCTTATGCACAGCTCACTGTCCAGCAATTCCTCAAGTCCTCCGCTGCAGAGCTTTGCTGCAGCCTGGCTGTCGTGAGCCTGTATCACTGCCAGACCCACTGTCTTCCCAGGACAGGACTCTGCATTTGTCCTTGTTCATGAACCTTTTGTCAAGCGCTTCTCCAGCTTCAGCAGAGTGCTCTGAACTGCAGGCCTATTACTCCCTTCCAGTTCAGTGTCTAAAAACCTGACCATCAGGGCCCTCTCTCTGCTCTTCCATGTCACTGGCAAGAGTGCTGGACAGGATGCAGAACCTAATCCTTGGTACTAACTTCTGGGCAAGGTGGAACAAACCAGGAGTGACCATAGACCCACATTTTTACCTATTTAGTCTTCAGTTAATCCAGACTGGTCTTCCAGTTTGAATGCATGAATAGGGTGGGACACAGCACTGAAAAAAATGAGAGAACTTAGTCTGGACCCCGTAGACTGTGTGAAGTTGATGCAAGTTAATGCTTCCACTACTTGTATCCGGTAGTGAGGCTGAGCCTGACTTCCCACTAGACACGCAGAGAACACATCTAAACAGCTTATATGTATGTAGTTGCATATTGTACAGTGGATACGCAGAGCAGCCGGACAGATGCAGCACCAGTGGTTGCCTCATGTTTGTACTGTATCTGAGCAGGGTAGGATTACCCTGGTGCATTGTCTCTGCATATCTATGGGCAGTACGGATCCCATTAGCAGATGGTTCTAGACACTCTGACTCTGTACAGTAACTACCCCTGGACCTGAGTCTCCTGAATTGCTGGTACCTGGAAATGCAAACCCCTGAGACTGTATCCCTACTTCTGTTGGCCTGTACAGACTGCCTCCCTCACCCATATGTGCCTGCATACTGAGCTGTCTGTGACTCCCTTGTTTCCCACTTGCTCATTCTGTGGTCCTTGTCTCAGAGATACAGAGGTAATACATATGTACAGAGGTAGCCATGACTGGTAGCCCCCAGTCTGCACCCCATAGCATCCTGTCATTTACCCATAAATACATACACACAGCAGCAGTCTCTGTCAGCCAGGCTGATCCCTCCATAGCCATTTCTTCCTGTGGTGTCACCCTTAGTGACCCAAATACTCTCTTGGTTCCCAGGCCACTACTGTCTAGTGTGCCTTGGTGTTTATTAGGGGTCAGATACTTTCTTGCACATGCTGGTGCTGGCACCATGGATGATTGCGTCATCCCACTCCTGTGGCTGTCACTTAGGTACACACACTCTGGTCCCTCCAGCCAGGTGCAACCGTCACAGACAAGCAGGCCCCCCCCTCTGACTTGTGATTTGACTACAATTACTTGTACTTAGACTTCCAAATGCATGAGTGCTGAGTAGAGTCCCTTGTCCAAGAAAACAGAGGGCAATGGAGTTGGGTAAAAAGAGAATGTGCCAATTGGGCATGCTTGGGCAAGGGTAGCAATCAGCCCACTATTTGTATTTAAGTGTCCCTCTTATCCTCATATTCCTCTATCTTCCTATACATGTTATTCTCCAAGTTACCTAGTTCCTCCCTTTCCTCGCATTTGTTTGCATATGTAATAGTAAGAGTCCTATGCTTTTCTGCTGCATCCCATAATGTCTCTTCTATAATACAGTGTCCAACACTATGCTGTTCCACAGAAGGTGCACAGGGCTGGGCTGGGGGCTTAACAGGTTGGGAGGAGTCTCAGTAATGGCAGCGGGTAGTGGCTTTTTGACTACAGAGATTAAACTACTCTATTCAGTCAGGGGACACCAGTGTTACTCACTACAGACTGAGGTTTCTTTTGACACTGAATTGATGACTAGTGAAGCTGGAGGACTTGGCCTTTAGGAGCAGAGATTCAGAGCAGTCTCCACTGAGATGATAGCAAAACTGTCAGAAACAAGACCACTCATTATGTTACATAATTACTTTTTAATTAGGTGTCTTCTGTATCATAAGTAGGAACACTGTTTTGTCTCCTCTGTGTAATTTTTATACTCTGCTGCTTCAGATATTCATGAGTTGTAGTGAGTAATTTGCAATCCTGGTGAACCTTCACAGGACTTACCTGACAGTGAGGCTTCTCAGCTACACTGAGAAATTTGGGTAACTCAGAGAATCCCACAAATATACTGCAGCATGTTTGGTGCATTCCCAGTACTGCTAATGCAGACAGAAATGCCCTCTAAATGTGAAAAAGGCAGGAAACCACAGGGTTTCCGGGTGAACTGCAGTCAGTGGAGAATAACTGGTTTGTTACAGAGGGAGGAAGGTGGAAAAGTGGTGTGACTCTCCCTTTGCCAGGAGAGCTGGTGCCAAAGGTTTTGCCGCCACCTAGATTAGGGTAGGGGACTGCTGTTTAGTCTTGCAGATGGAATCACAGATGGACATGTGTTCACTGATCTTGAAGCCCAGTGTGGTACCCCTATAGACTTACTTGACAGTAGTAGTTTCAAATATTGCTTTTATATTTCAGATCCTGAATGGTTTTTGAGAAGTGAAAATGAGAGCTGTTGCATTGCCTGGAAGAGAGGCTTTTTGTTTTATTTCAGTTACTTTTTTGGTTTGTAACATGACGTGTAGATGTGACTCTTAGGGACATAGTTTAGTGAAGGCTCTGGCAGTGTTAGTTTAGTGGTTGGACTCACGGTCTTTTCCAACCTAACCGACTCTGTGATTCAGCTGTACTGCAAAAAAGAAACCTCCCTCAGTCCAAAGGGTGCGTAGGTGTTGACTGTGTTGTTGGGTTTCACACCTGGATACTGTTGCTGAGGATGTTGTGGGACAGGGTGTTCCTTTTTCTGCATCTTGAATTTGCTTTCCCGTCTGCTCCCATGGCCCTGTGTTCCTCTGGACTTGGGGAGATGGGTGTTTCATGGACTGATGGCTCCTGTGGTAGTCTTGGGTGTAGTCCAGGGTATTATTTGGGCTTCTGCCAGCTGCTGTTGTCTGTCTTTTATGTGTGTGCAGGTGAGTTTTTATCAGGTACACTAACAGAAAGCTAAAACTGACGTGTCAACCACTTGATCTTCTGTCACCTCATTGCTTTACAGTTGGGTTCATGAGGTATGGCATGCCCTTCAAATGTTTGATAAGTCTCCATGATCACCTTCTCCATTATGCCCCTAGAAGTGCTCCCTGAAGGGACTCACTTCACTATTTTCGCAGAGATCAAAGTGAGAATGACCAGTTGGTAGTTTCTTGTTATTATCGTCTTGGTCTGTTAGCAGTTTTGGAAGATCTCCAAATGCTTTGTAGCTCACTATATGTCATGATTCCTCTTCTATGTTATGAAGGTCTAAAACAAGTGAAAATTCTGTTTTTCTGCACTAAGATGAGGGCACAATTCTTTTTCTTGCTAAAATATGTAACAGGTATTAATTTCCTGAACTTGCCTGTGTTGTATTGTTGCAAATAACTATCAGAAGAAGAAAAGTATCATTCCTTACACTGATTTTATTTTTTTTTTTCTGTTGTCTAACTTGAAATTTATGGAAGGACTATGCTTGCTGAATGATGCTGTTAGTAGCCAAAAGCAGAATTTCTTTAGCTGTTACTTTTTTGTGTGTTATATTTCTTTGCTTAGTGCATAAGCTGGGAGTGCCTCCAATATGTTTGGAATGTTTAGGGTTACAAATTCCTATTCTTGCTAACTGTTGGTTTGTCATCAAGTTTAAGATCTCTTGTATTTTTGTATAATTTATTTTTAATCACGATTAATCAAATATTGATCCTTACATAGTTTAAGACAGCTGGAACAAGATGCTATTGACCTAAAGAAGGAATTTCAGTTGGCAAATGTAAAGATCAAAGCAATAAATAAACAGAAAGCAGAACTTGTTACTGAATTGATGCATCTCATAAAGGTATGTATTTTTAACTTGGTATGTGTTCCACTTTTTGAAAAGTCCAGTTCTTGTAATTTAAGTAGGAGGCATGCAACATTTGTTACTGTCAGTGTTTTCAAGCTAGCGTTCTTAATTATTGAATAATCTTAACTTTTTCCATTTTTTATCTTTGATTTTTTTTTTTCAGTTTGTATCTCTGATAATTATTCTAAAATCTCTTAAGAGAATTGTAAACAAACTTTTTCTTGTGCCAACTTCATACTGGAGAAACTGTGTTGAAATGACAAATAGTGAAGATCTCAGACTTTGGCTTAACTGTTGTGGTCACATGCTAGCACTCTGAAAATTTTATCTTGTATGACCTTACCCTCCCTTTCATTAAGGGAGAGGATTCATTTGTATTTATATGCTGGTCATAAAAAACATGGTAAGCAAATGCTTTCAGTGGCCCATAATTGTAGCTGCTCTTTAGACAGTAAACAATCTGATGATGATTTTGAAGCCTCTGGAGTTCGTGAGGCTGACTTGTTTGAAAAAAACCCAAACATTTTAATGTCAATGTTGTCTGACCAGGTTCTAGTGATCACTAAAGTCTGTTACATAACTTCCCAAACACAGCCTTGTTTAGTTGTCATGTGCTGTTCCAGTTAAGACATCAGATATAAGAGTTGTTACATCTTGCCAGTCAACTGCATTGTCATTACAAGATGCACGTCTTTTGTGTTTATTTTTTTCCATCTCTGTGTGGGACATATGATGTCCACCAAAATCCACATGTTGGATTCTAATCTCTGAGTAACAATTGAGATAGCCTTAGCTTTTCCTACTTATCTCACACATGTCAGTATATAGTGAAGGAAAAGAGAGTGGGGGGAGGGAGGGTTGATGTAAAATCGTGGGTTGAAAGTGCATGTGTGCATTTACCTACATATGTGTATTTTTATATATTTGGTTGAAATTATAGAAACTATGTCTAGATACACACTTAAAAGTACATGAGTACTACAGATCTTGGGTCACCACTTCTCCTTGAATTTGACAGCAGTATTGATGAGCTGAACACAGTGTGAGATTTTATGATATGACTAAAAGGATGGGTTGTTTTTAAAGTAATGATTATGTCAGTTTTGACTCTGGTGAAAAAAACCCTGTTCTGTTTTCCTGTGTGTAGAGGATCATACCACTGAACATCGTCAAAGTAGCTTTGGCTCTTCAGATGACCAAAGTAACTGCGGAGAAGAACAGACTACAGTCAGAGTACAAAGCAGGAACTGTACAGCTAAGAGCTGCACAGGTAACAATATTTATGAATAATGGGGTATCCACTATAAAAACATCTCACTGGGAAGCCTTTATGGTGTTGAAAAGGATGCATCTGTCTTTGTTCAGAAGTGGGTGTTAATACTGCTAAATATTTAGCCTTGATTTCTGTAGTTTGACTTCAGCCTCTTCATTTAAAGCAGAATAGTAGCTTTGCCATCCTCAGTTAAGACAACTAAGCTTCCATGAAAATATGCCACTCAGTCATCTTATCCTGGATCTTTTTATTGTAATAAAAAGTGTGTAAAAAGGCCAGGTGTTAACTCAAAGGATTACTTTCTTCTGAGTCTGTCCATAAACAAGGAGCTCCAAGCCACATGGGAAATGAAAGCTCAAGATGAACCAGAATGTGCAGCAGCATAGTAGAGCTGTTTTACATTTCTTTCATAGCTCGTTTCTTTATATCGTAATTAAATGCCTTTCTTGGAGGACAGAAAAGAGACTGAATGGTCCTTCTCTTGGTAGATTGTGTTAGGAAGCTGTGCTCTGTTTAGGTAAAAGGTCTGAGGAGAGTTAGTTCCACAGTGAGTACACATTTCTAAGAGCAGAGGGTGCTGTCATTGTTTGTGGATTGCCGCAAAGGTCAATTTTTGTATTTGTGTAGTAGTACAATGTTTCAGTGCGCTGGGGAATAAACTGTCAAAGTAAAGGGCAGTAAGTTGGGAATTTTTCCTTTCTTGCAAGAGTTCAGTCAACTGTAACCTCGTAATTCAATTTGATCATAGAGATAAAGGTAAAAACTGGAAAGCAGCTTAAGAGGTAGGAGATACTTATTTTGCATGGATGGTTACTTCCAAAAAGAACGGTCTTAGCATGTAGTTAGAAAACCACTCAAGTTATAGTTTCTATTATTTGCAAGAGAATTAGATAGAGAAGAACTTTTTAAGGGGAGCAGATGCTTGAACACATAGACAAGTCCAGCATGTTACTTAAAAAACCATTGTTCCTTAAGTTCTTACACATGATACATCTTTTACGCAGTTTATCAAACTTCAATGAAAATCATGTAATTTGAGCTCAGTTAGGAGTAAGAATATATTGCAAAGCCATTAACCCCATGTCAGTGATGTGTATTGTCACTGGGAAAATAACATTTCTAGTTGTCTCTACACACATCTTCATCATTTAGGGAATAGCTTGTGTAGCTACTCCCTAAATGATTGGGTAGTAGTTAGATGTCTGGTCAGATGACTAATCAGGATTTGTCATTGTAACATTTTGAATTCTTAAAAATTCCCTCCTTCATAGTAAAAGGTGTGTAGGAATCAAGTGGAGTCCCATTGAAGTCCCCTCAGGATACCAACAGGAACGTTAACATTGCCATGTACTTTTTAGTTTATAGAATAAATAAGGAATCAAAATTTGTGTATTTTTAATTATATTTGTCAAAATTTTATTTTGTATGTGGGTGTTAACAGTAAACTGGCAAAGCTGAATGAAAATTGATGAAAATTGAACTGTAGCTTGTTGAACTGTCAGTGCATTACATGCTTCATAGTAACATCAAATATCTGTTGCATTCTAGTTTTTTTGTCACATATGGAAGTTTCTCCTGTCAAATATGTATTTTATTCTTCACTGAAGAATTTTACTTATTTTAGCTTGGATCAGGCATATTCAGTATTGAATCTGGTTCAGATTTTACGTGCCTACATATCAACTTGAGATCTTGTTTCATGCAGCTCTGCAAAGCTCCCCTCAAGTGGGAGTTTTATAAACAATTGAGAATTGAGATTCCCCACTTCAGATGATGCAGAATTGATTTGGGCTCTGAAAATGATCAAACACATAAAATTTATGCTTCTTCTATAAAAAAAGTATGGGTGCCTCTCGAGATCTTTTTGCCTTCATTATCATGTCAAAATACTTCAGATGAAGCCAGTTGACTTTTAAATTAATGGGATCCAAAATACTATTACAGGGCATTTGCAGATATCCAGTGGAACGTAGCCATTGTGCTGTTCCATTGTATTTTTACTAATTCAGTAGTGCTGAAGATCTTAGCTATAAAGAAATCCTCCCTTTACTGTTTTATCCGTACAGCTCTATTGCCAGTCCTTGCAGCCCATGTGACATTTCCCTCCTCTGCAGTAGACTTCATGACATAGAAGGGGTGGTCTAAAAAAGGCCTCTTCTAAAAATTTTCCAGCCTTTCTGAAAACACAAACATAGTACAGGAAAATATTTTTACAGTGTGTTTGTGGAGATTGTGAAATGCTTATCTGTAATACAGAGATCTATTTCGTAATGCTTGGTGGAGAGGGAGGGAAGAACAGGTTTATTTGAGTTGATACCTGCTGAGAACAGCAGCCTTAACTCTTGTGAGTGTGATATATCACTAATGGTCATACCCATTTCTACCACTTCTGCTGTATTTAGTAAATAAAGATCAGTAACAATTCCAGAAAGTAATGAGAGTGACTGCCAGTGTCTGTGTCCTGTATTTTAAAATTGTGGAACAACGTTTCTAATTGTATGATTTCCAAATGAAAACTGAATTTTTTTTACCACTGGAGGGCTCCTATATTTAGCTGAGGTACGCAGCAGTAAAACTTGGGAAGATAACTCTTGAATTTACATGCACACTTGTTAAGCTGAGAGAAAATAAATTTAGCTATTTCTGAAGAACATGCTTTTGATCAGTTTGCCATGGCATCTGTTGACTTGATGAGCAGAGAGGTATAATGAGTTCTGTTAGTTGAAGCAAATTTTTTTGGTATTTTAATAGTGTGGTTTCAGCTACGTTTTCTTCCTCAGATGTGGTTTGTTGCTAGTGTGCTAGTGTTACCTCTGGGAATTCACAATAATACTTTAAAAAAAAAAAATATGGTGGTGATTTTTTAAACTATATTTTAATATTTCTAACAGCAACGTTTTCATGAACTGGATAATAGGAAGCAACTTCTTTATGAGAAATGCATGGAACTGATGAAACAAGCTCGGCATGTCTGCAGATTGGGTCCAGATCAAGATTTTCCAGAAGAATTTCAAGTTGTATGTAAAATAAAAAATAATTCACATATCTCTTGAATTTCTGATTTCTGCAAAGAATATTGTATATCTTTATTAGAAGGCTCCCAGTAAAGGATCATGGTTCTGTTACTGTCTTTAGCCTTTTAAACTAACTTCAAAAGAGTACTGAGGTACCCTTTGACTGCCACTCTGTTTTGTGCCCAGGAGAGAGAAAATTAGATCTGGGATTTAAATTTAAATCCACAGTCTTGTGTCCAGAGACATAAATAGAGGCCATATTTTTCTACCTTCCTGCTCTAATGGAGCAACACAGAAGAGCTGAGGTCAAGACGCAGCCTCTTAGAAGTATTCATTTGCATGGCTTTTCTAGCAGGGTCTATATCTTACGCCAAATCTCTGAGTATCTGTGCCTGCACAAGTTAGGTAACCAAGGAGCAACTAATTATGTACTTAATTATGTAACAGCACTTCCAACCATCTTTCTCTGCCCAGAATAGTTAGTGGAGGGAATCTTGCTATGTTAAATTTTGATTATGTCACACCCTGATTAAAAGCAACAAAATAGTTTATGGTTTGTCCAATTTATTTTTTTTTAAAGAAAACTTGAATGCTTCATTAGTATTGCTTTGTAAATTGTGCAATCCTTTGTCTTGTAGGCTTTTCAGACTCTTCCAGACACATTGGAGGAAATTGATGCTTTTCTGAATGAAGAGAAAACCAGGGCTTCCTGTTTCACAGGCCTCAGTGCTTCCGTATGTTCACTGCTTTCCCTCCTCCTCTACCCATGTTGTACTTGTTTCCCACTCAGTGCTAGATCTCTTGGTATAATAACCTAGGCAGTAGCAACAATGTGCTGTAAATGCCAGATTCTGTATCTACTCAGATTTCAAGTAGGTTCTCTAAAAAAAAACAAAAACCAAAAAAACAACTTGAAATAATCTTAGAGAAACAAAGCTGTACAGTTTCTGTGCTTTAAAGCTAGAAATCTGTCTTGTTTAGTGTTCAGTGTAGTAGTCTGTGTAATTGTGCTTGAACAGAATTGTGCAGTGTGGTATTTTTACAGTCAAGATTAGAGTTGGCAAATAATTTGCTGAGTGCTTGTTTTTTATTCTGGCAGGTTGTTGAAGAATACAATAAGCAAACACAAGAAATACAGCAGTTGACAGAATTTCTAGAGGAAAAGAAAAATGAGTTGAGTAACTATAAGCAAAACATTTCACAGGTAATAGCTCAAGTTACCACTTTTCTATCATTATTATAATTTATATCATTGTAAGAATGTATGTACAGAAATAAAGGGTAACATTTCAGATTGTTTTGAGTGTAAAGTGAGATGTTAGCTTTCCTAATTACAATGTCTTTTCAATGTAAATGCTATCTCCAAGGGAAAATCCAATTCTTAAATTGATCTTACATGGATATGTCTACTTTTAGGTTAAAGAAAAGTGGCTAAGCCTCTTGAAGGTGATGATTGAACAAATTAATGGAAAGTTCAGTAGGTTCTTTAGTTCTATGCAGTGTGTTGGTGAAATTGATCTTCATATGGAAAATGAGGTATGATTGATATTTTGTATAACATTCATATTTTCTTGCATAATGTTTTGGTCATATATTGCTAGAGGAAAATAACAAGTTGTCTTGTGGAGATGTTATTTAGTAAAAGTTTAGTGTTTTGTTTTTTTTTTTAAAACACTTTTGGTGTACTAGAACTGACTTACCAGTTTGATTGAAGGCAAGTGAGTCTTCATCCAGACAACTAAGACTTCACCTCCTGACTTTTGGAATAGGCTTGCAACTTAGAGAGCTTGGTTAGAAACATTGTATTTAATTAGCTGTTACTCAGATTTATGAAGTTTATGATTTAATTCTGCATTTTCAGCTAATTTTTGTCCTCTGTTGTCATCCAAATCTTCTGTTACTAGGTTTTGAATTGATTTGGTTCTACATGTAGTTTCTACTGGAGTCTGGGGGCATTTTGTCTGTTCTGAAAGCAGCCATCATTTGGCCCATCCTGTTACCTTCTCAGTAACCTTTAGGTAGAGTTTACCTCTGGTGAAGAGTTAAAAGCATAAGTAGAGCTTGGGGAGAAATATTCAGTGCAATGAACTGAAGAGGGAAATTTCATATTTTGTTTTAAATTGATCACTGAAATGATGAAGTCAAGACTTTCATATGTTAACACAGACTACACAATAGTGAAAGTGAACACAATAATTTTTTGTGGCTTTTTTGCTATTGTAAATTACTCAAACAGCTTTTCTTGAAATAGCAGTGGCAGTTATTATTCAGAGCTGAAGAGTGACTGTTAAGGCACTTTATAGGACCTGTATAAAGATGTTTATGTGTAGACTAGTAATATGAAACAGTAGAACATTAAAATGTAGACTTTTCAGGTATTTTGATAATTACCTCCACAGATCTATATTACACAAAAACTGTGTTTTACATAAAAGTATGCTGGGAGAGAGAACACAGAAGGAACAGTAAAGCAGTTTAAAAGCAAAAGGTGTGTAGAGTGCCCTTCTGAATCTCTTCCTTAGAAGGTCTTGCTCCTGTATAGCAAAGATGTCACAAACAGTTTTAAAAGATTAGCTAGCAGTAGTGTGCCAGTGAGTAAACCTTTCTTCAAGGGATCAGTGGCTACAATCTAGAAGGGTGGATAATCTGTTCTAAAGATTGTATTCCTTACCATTCTCTGCTGGAGAATCTTTTTCCTCACTTGTAGTTATGAAGAGGGAGACTCTTGAGATAGAATACTTTTTATTAGAAATATTTCTGTGACACTGAATTTCAGGCCTCTGTTAGTCTGCCTTATAGGAATCTTGAGATCTGTGGTTGTCCCTGCTGACACTACCTGCTGTCACCATTGTATTATAGGAGGAATTGGATATTAGGGAGAACTTCTTTACAGAAAAGGTGATTAAACATGGAATGGACTGAGGAGGGATGTGCTTAATGAATGACTGGACAGAGCACTCAGCCAGGCTGGTGTTCAGTCATAGGTTGGGCTCTAATCTCAGCAGCCTTTTCCAACCTAAGTGATTCTGTGATACTGTGTGAAATGCTTCACTGGGTTCTTCCTTAACATCCTAGCAGAATCCTCTGTGAACAGTCTGACTTTCTTGGTAACACTTAGCCAGAATTCATACTGATAGCCATTCTAACCCTTGCATTCCTTGATTCACCACAAGGAGTTTTGAGCATAATTTTTGTCAGGTTTTGGAACATCTGTCAGTTACACAAGCTGGCATTCAATAGTGTGGCAGTAGTCAAGGTCTGTCTGATGCCATCATCGCTGTGTTCCACCTGAATTTTTTTTATTTGGTTTTGCTAGCCTGTATCTTGTTCCCTTTTTCTAACCTAGTTTCAGTCCTTGTTGATGCATCTGAAATTACAGTGGACCTAGAGACCTAGAGCCTGGGTTGCATTTCTCCTTACATGAAGTTGGAACAACTCACAGAATCATAGATAAGTTAGAAGGACTCACAAGGGTGATCAAGTTCAACTCTTAAGTAAATGGTCCAGGGAGGGATTGAACCCACAACTTTTGATGTTTTTAGCATTGTGCTCTGACCAACCAGGTGAACTCAGTGGCCGCTGAGCACAGCTTCAGAAGTAATAGAGAGTACTCTGAAGATTTCTTTTTCATCCTCAGCATGAATGCATTTCATTGCATGGTCCTTTGAACCACATCTGTTATCCTGGTACCTTGCATCATTGGCTGAGGCTGTTTACAAGGTTCACTTTCCTATTGAAGAAAAGCCAGGATTGAAATCCTTGTATGTGGTTTTCCCGTTGAAGTATGAAAAGGAAATGGCTTTGAGCTGCTTGCACTTGAAGAGGTTCAGATTGGTACTTAACCTACACACCATTAGTCCACTGCTCAAGTTGATAGTATCTTAAGGCGTTTTTTTTCTGATGAATGTGATTTACAGGGGCATGGCTTTCTTCTTTGTCTGGCCGAGATTTTTATTTTCCTGTTAATGTTCTTACTATTTATGAAGCTTTTCTTAACAGAAATTAACAAACTATAGTCATGGAAAGGGAGTGGTATTGGAAATTCTCTAGCAGAAATAGACAAGAGTTAAGGAAAACAGATGAAACAATTAATATATGTAGATGAACCAGAATTAATATATTGGTTTTAAGTTGAACTTGAGTAGTTGGTAGACTAATGAACATTTGTATAAATATCCTATAGTTCGCATGTCATCATAAAATAAGCTATAAGTAAAAAAAGAGTTTTAAAGGTACTGGCTTTCACAGGAGGAGTACGAGAAGTATGGAATCCGCATTAGAGTCAAATTCCACAGTAGCTCTGAACTTCATGAATTGTCTCCGTATCATCACAGTGGAGGTGAAAAAACTGTTTCCACTATGTTATACCTGATGGCTATGCAAGAACTCAACAGATGTCCTTTCAGGGTTGTTGATGAAATAAATCAGGTAAGAATCAATAATGTGGTACTGCTCTTTCAATAGTCAAATGCTTATGACATAGTGGAGAGAACAGACTCTTTTTTTTGCTTTTCAGGGAATGGATCCAATGAATGAGAGAAGAGTTTTTGAAATGGTTGTGGGAACGGCTTGTAAAAAAAGGACATCTCAGTACTTCTTCATTACACCAAAGGTGTGTGGCAGCAAGTGAAATTGGAAATTTAAAATGTAGGAGAATTGGTTTTTATGTGATAATACACCGATATAAACTATATAACTTAGCTCTGTTTACCTAAGAACTTTGGATTAAAGACAGGATTTGTCCATTCTAAGGACAGGCAAGCAAGAATTCAGACAACTTAAACCAAGGCTCATCTCCTCAGAAACTGACTCTGGAGTTGTGGCCTCACTGGAAGTGTCATGTGTTAACAACCAGTGTACAGGGTTATCATGGAAAAGGCTGTAAAAGGTAATGCCTCTAGCTAACACAGAATTCAGACTGTAGCAGAGACCAACTTCCAAACAAGTCAGATGATGATACTGGAGGACGAGCAGGCTAGTGCTGCTGACATCAAAACTACAAGAGTCCCACATGATTACTTGAATAGTTTTCCTGTATTAAACTGAGACTTAGAGGCTCAGAAAAGGCGAGATCTATGCTCCAAGAGTAACCAGTTTAATTGTAGTCTTCAGTCAAAATTTTAAAAAAGGTAGTTGACTTACTAGTCATGCAGTGATACCATGCCAGAGCTTGAAAGGAGTAAATAGGGTGGCTGTTCAGCTGCACCATTAACAGAGACTAATGTTATGTTCAGCTTGATCCAAGACAAATTGAAACAGTGAAGGTTACTTGTACACCAGGGAGACAGGCAGCCAGTGGTGTGCTATTTTTATTAAGATATCACTTCTGTATCCCATTATACACTGTATTCTAGAAAATCTGGCTGGTATGTCCTGTTTTTTCAGTAAATTGCATTGAAGGGCCTGAGTAAAGCCACCTAGCATTTACCTTACTAGAAGGAGATGGAAGGTAATGCTTATTGTTCCTTCTGATCTTGCGTATGCTTATCTCCATGCAGTTTGGTCATTTCCTGACCACATTACTTCTTTGTTGTTCAGTGTTACCTATTCCCGTTTGTCTTCTTGTGATTCCTCTCCTTACTGAATCAGCTTTTCTGTGTGATCTCCTACTTAGAGAAAGAAGAGAATGATGTGGATGTTGAAAGATAGCTCAATTAACTAATGCTTTCTAAATTTAAGGAGTTGTAGAAAATTGCTGTCTGGGGTCCAGAGTCTGTTGTAAAAGTTGAGTCTGTTGTCAAATTACTAAAAATAGAGACAAGGAAAAATTGATTATGCAGAGCTAACCAGAAAGATCAAAATAAAAATGAAAAAGCAGAATTAAAAAAAATCTTAGACCTTTAAAAAAGCGACAAAAAGTCAACATTGTGTTAGCAAGAAGCTTGAGGACTGTGTTGCAGAATTATTCAGCAGCAAGAGACAGTGTTATGAAGAGGTGGCTGAAGATATTCTTTGTGTCTCCTTCATTCTTCCCTCCACAAGCAGGTGACATGGCAAGTTATAAATGGCCTGTCACAAGAAAAATCAGTGAGAGCATATCATGTAAAGCTTTAGTTGATTAGAGTGTTTGTGTGGGCTGCATTAGAGGGTAATTAAATGGCTGCATAGGGCAGGATGGGAAGGCCAGACATTGCTGCTCATGGCTTACCTGCAATTCCTGAGCCTATGATGTATGCCACCACTTACTAGAAGGCAATTATGTAATCACCTACTATAAAGTGTGACAATTTGTCATGCTAAGCCAAGTTCCACGTGTGCACCCAGTGGATGCAGGAAAAACTGTGACCCTTTTTTTTCAGTATGTTGACGCCTCCCCTGGTTGTATTTCTAAGCAAGATATAGAGGGGAGGGGTATAAATTAATACACAGTAAAGTTGATTAGGAATATTGTCTTTTGAATAGTTGTGATCTGCTGTCATAATGAGTAGATGAACTGAATATGTTCTTAGAAGTGGGTTTGAAAATTAGTATTTTTAATACAAATCTGTGGTGAAACATACTACGTTTATTAGACGTACAGATAGTCACCAAGTTGGGAGTTAATCCCTTTTTCACTGTAAAGCAAGATTAGAATTCTAAATAATAATAGGTTAGGTAACTTTTATTGAAAAGAAGGATTCATTTCAGTACAGACAAACATAAAATTTGGTATTTAAGTGGAAAAATCAACAACAGCATCTGGTGTAAGGCATAAATGCCCGAATGACTAGGGAGAGGGAAGTGACAAGTTGAGCATCAGTTGCAGGTAAATTGTTCAATGTCATCCTGAGCCATGCTTGTAACTTACACTTTGCATGACTTCTTTGTGTGCTGGGCTTATGTTTGGCAATGTTTGGATTATCATAAGTATCCAGCTTTGGCTGTTACACTTCAGAAAAGTAGTAGAGGGGCTGTAATTACTCCAGAAGGTAGCAGTGCAACTTCTAAGTAATTTTGATTGTTCTGAGTTACCACTAATGGAGATTGCTTAGCTTAGGGAAGCACAGGGCTAAAGAGAGACATAGGTTTACTTGGATACAATCACTATCTCCTGTTTTTTTCCCCAGGGGAAAAAAAAGAAAAACATTATTCTGTGCCCACAGAGTAGTGGAGTTATTCTCTGGATAGAAGAATTATTCTCTGGATACACTAGAAAAGCAATGAGATCCATGGTAGCAAGAAGGTGCAGATTAGATACGAAGATTTTCTTCTAGTAAGAATAACGATGCATGGAAATAGGCTGAAGAATGAGTCCCTTTGAGGGGGTTTCTAGGAACAAATGCACTTAATTTGTCAGGCTGTGATCCTAGTACAGTGAGATTTTTGAGATTTAAGGTTTTTCATAGATCTTACTCAGCTTTTTTAGACAATGGGAAACATTTAGCTATTTTGACTTTGGTTTCTGTGTTTTTCACCAGCTCCTGCAGAATCTCACTTACAATAGCAAGATGACTCTGCTGTTTGTCTACAATGGACCTTTTATGCTGGAGACATACAAATGGAACTTGAAGCGCATCAAGAGACGGCAACGGCGGCTTACAAGGATGAATGAATAGTGGTATATAGCTATAGAAACATAGTTCTACAGAAATATTTTGTAGATCTTTCTTGAAACATCTGGCTTTCAAGAATTCAGAAATTTTCAGAGAGGAAAACCCTCAATGAACTGATAATTGAGAACTTTGGTTCTTAAAACTTACACATATGTTTGACAGATTTGAAGTGCATGATTTTCTTTTTCAAGTCTTTCATAGTGGTCACTTTCTCCAAGTAACCTACTTTTCTCAGTAGTAGGTTTAAATAAAAAATTTCTTTTTTTTTATTTTTTTCTATTCTGTCAGTTAATGAAGCATCAGAAGTGCAGGTAATTTTCTGGATTATCCTGGACTTTTGTGACTGTTGTTTTTTAGAGGTTATTTTTTCCAAAAATTGGAATTTGCTTTTGGTAAATAATTTTACCTTACCACAGATGTGGATATTATCCCATTTCCCTATTGAAATGCAGTTTTTAAAAATGAATTCAGGTGATCTGTAGAAAAAGAATGGTTTGTAATGGTTTGTTTTGTAAAAATAAACATGAAATTAATATAAATAATACGATTCTATGAATATATTATTGTTGAGTAAATACTTTTTCTCAAAATTAGTACATAAATATAGTAACATTTCATTTTGTAGTGTTCGAAGGACAAGGTTTTTCTAGCATGTCTCTCAGCAAGAAGACTAACAGAATTCCAGGTCTTTCTGAAACAGTGAGCTAGTGAGCTTGCAGAAGTAAAACTAAGCAATATATAACTTCTTGTGTGTTTATTTTTCTAAGTAAAACTTGATACATTTTTGGTGATAGAGAAAATAGTACTGTAGATTTGACATGTAAGTTAAACCCAGGAGGATTTTACAAGGTGTCAGCTGCATTGGAGTGATTGTACAGTCAATTGCTTTTCAACAGAAAGCCATAAAAATTTTTAATAGAGTGTTGGCCATAACTAGTAAGCATTTGGAAATGTAGGTTACAACAGAATGTGGAACACCAAAAATAAAGTCCTGATTATCAAGTGATCTACTAAATAAGTAAAATTCCACAATTCGATGTCTGCTTTGAGTGTGTGCTTTTCTTAACAGCATCCTGGCAATGAACTTTGCTAGTGAAACTGGCATGTTAGGCTTTGATACTGTCATATTTGAAATAAAATAATCCAGTACAAAATATGAGCTGGAATCTGGAAGGTTTTGGGTATTAAAGGGCTAAGTGTTGTAATTGTTCTTTTGAATAGATAGGTGAGCCTTCAGTGCAGTAGAGAACCACACATTCTTGTTACTGCAGGCCATTGTTGGTCAATGGAATTGTGTGACTGTGAAATGAGTTCCTGGAGTAATTTCTATGATGATTAGTGTCCCAACAAAAAAACTGAACAGAAGATATAAAAGTGTGGAAACTCAGGCTGTGATCCAGAGTTAATTTGGTCAGCAGAGTATCTTTGACATAATTGAGGCTACAGGCATATCTCTCTGTCTGCTGTATTGAAAGATCTTGGTTTTAAAAGTATTCTTCAAAATTGTCTGTTATCTGGGAGTTTCTCCATATGAATGGTTTCTATTACCCTCTGTCTTTAGTATTGTTGCTGTTACTGTTTGTTTTCATGTCTCATTACTGTTTGCAGTAAATGGTTCTTATCTTTTCTCAGCCTATGATTTTTGCCTTTTGTGCCTCCGGTTCTCTCCTGTAGCACACTGCAGGGGGAGGGAAAATGAAGCAAGAGGGTGGTGTCTGGTTTGGAGAGTCTTGTGGGGGCAAGAATTGGGGAGTACCATTCCTAAAGCAGGACAGATTGGCACAGTGTCTGATGGGAGGTTCTGAGAGAAGAGCTATCCCATGGGAAGCAGGGGAGGGGGAACCTAGAAGCACTCTAGCTTCTCTGTAAATAACTGAGCCAGAATTACTTTCTTCACTTCTGACTCACTAAAACATTGTCCAAAATTACTTTTCCTAGAACTTTTTGTTCTGGAAGCATTTTTCCCCCCTTGCTAATTAAGAATAAAATCACAATTCAGTACACGGTAATTTGTGAGACTCTACTCCAAGAAAAATTCTTCACCTATTCCTGCCTAAACATCTGATAATCACATGACTCTTTCTATGCTATTGCACCCAGACTAGGCTTGCCAAAAGCCGTGCTAATGTGGGGCTCATTGATCCAGTGTCCTTCGCATATTCCAGGGTGAAGGGCAATTTTTTGTAGCACTACTGTAGCTGCTACTGGCACTATAGCTACTATTGATCTAGTAGCTGCTCTAACCTCATTTTACTTTGGTGCTAACTTCAGCCATTGACAAGGCTGAACTAGTAGGGAGAGGGGAGGTAAGCGCGTAAAGCAGATACTTTAAGCCACTGAAAGCTTTTCAGGCTTGACTGTAGCAGTGTGGAAAACCAGCAGGGAAAGCTTGGAAAACCAGCAGGGAAAGCATGGAAAAATAAGGGCCAGTAGCTGCAGTAGAGGTAGAAGTACCAGAGGTGATAAGCAGCCTGCCTGCCTGCCTACCTACCTACCTACCTACCTACCTACCTACCTACCTACCTACCTACCTACCTACCTCTCCTGTGGCTCATCTCTTTCCAACTGGTGTAATCCTCCGATACCAGTGCCCATCTTTATGCTTTCCACCAAATTCCTCCAGCTTTTCTCCACTAATCTGCTCCCCAGTTTCTTTTGGAAGTAATTCCCCAGTTGTCCAATCTTCTGTTGATTGTTACTCCCACTAGGCTAGTGGGGTTTTCTTGACAGTGGTACTGGTTTTGGGTGGGATAATTTTCATGATAGAAGTTTGTATGGGGTTATGGTTTTGTAACCAGAACACTGTTGGTTACATTGGGATGATTGCTGGGCAGTGCTTTGCAATACATTGATGCCTTTTTTGTTTCTCACACTGCCCTGCTAGCACAAGATGTTTACAAGAAGCTGGGAGGTGACACGGGTGGGACAACTGACTAAAGGGCTGTGTCACGCTGTGTGACATTGTCCTCAGCAGTAAAAGCTGGGGGAAGAAGGAAGTGTGTTCGGAGTTACATCTTCTGAAGTAACAGCTGTGTGTGGTGGAGCCCTGCTTTTCTGGAGGAATAGCTGAACACCTGCCTGTTGATGGGAAATAATGGATGACTTCCTTGTTTTGCCTTGCTTGTGCATCCGGCTTTTACTTTCCAAATTAAACCGTATTTACCTCAACCCTGCAGTTTTCTCACTTTTACCATTCTGATTCTCTGGCCCATCCCAGCGGGGGAGGGTGACTGTGTGGCCCTGAGCTGCTGACCAGGATTAACTCACAACAGTGTATATTGGTCTCAAAATGGGACATTACACCTGCCTCTTTTGCACACAGAGCTAAATTGAGACCTTGGCAAATATCTCGGCTTGTGTATTCATAGAAGAGCAAGTCACTTGCTTACAGACTGACCTCTTTGGAAAGCATGATGATGAGAACATGGCAAGTTAGCTGGAAAGGAATGACAGACTTGACTTTGGAGATAAGAAACTATGCATTGTAGTAGACAAAACTGATTCTGCAGGAAGCAAGGTGGAGGGAGGGGATAATAACTCCTAAGATAGTGGCAGAAGATATCAAGTCATGGAAAACAACAGAGACCAGAAGAGTGCACAGGTAATATATAACGTGGATGGTTCAAAGTGAATCTGTAAAATGTAATTTAAAGGGGAAGGATGTCCAATTCCCCCTTCCCAGTTTGTAACCAAAGCTGTAGACTATGAACATTATGCAGTTTGACCTTTGCTGCAATCTGTTTACAGTGGTTTACCTCAGTTTGGGTCGTGTAATAGTTTTTTCACGGACAATAAAGGTTTTCTCAGATGGTTGGGTTTTGCGGGTTTCTCGTTGTTTGTTCCGTGGTTTGGAGGGTTTTTTGCAGGTTTTTTACTTGTTTTGTTGGTTTTGTTGTTCCTTTTTCTGAGGAGTTACAGTGTAAATCCAAAGCAGATGATCAGTACAAGGAGTGCAAAGGGGCTTCTCAGACACCACCAAGAGTACCAGGCTCATTTTGTCCTACTGCAGTAATGCCTGAAGGACTGGTCAGTTGAAAAGCCACTGATTTTACAGTTTTCTGTGGGCCCCAGGGGCTGAGGAGTCTGGTTCTGCTTTGTGTTTGCTTCTGAACTGAACTGTACCATCCATGAAGGACTTTCCTGGTCAGAATTTTTATAGTGTTTAAAATACACTTTGCTTTATAAAATATACTGACTTTCTGCTAATATATTTAAAGTGGGATAGTTACCAGTGTGCATGCAATTCCCTAAGCATCAGTATGTTAGAAATCAGTATATTCATGAAAAACCATTACAGTAGCTTATATTGGGGAGAATTCTTTATTTCAGCTTGAATAAATTTACAGTAAGGCTGTCCCCCTTGAAGTGTTTGTTTAAAAAAATACCCCTAAGAAATATGGCGTAATTAGATGTAAGAGTTGAATGTAATATAGTTTCTAGATAAGGCCTGGCTTATTTCATGCAAAGCAGGAAAGCAGAGGCAGAAATTTACCACCAGCATTGCACAGACTAGTAATACAACTGTGATTTTCCCTTGTATTTTTTTACAGAGCAGTTATGCATGACTTTTCATAGCCCCTCAAAATGTGCTTTCTGCTTGAAAAAACTGTTCAATGCCACCAAAGCAATCCTTAACAGCAGAAGAGCCCACACTGCTGTTTGTGGTGTTTCCAGGAAGCTGCAACACACCTTACATCTATGTGTTCTGAAACTTGCTGCTGTCTTTCTGGCCCCTGCCCATTAGCCAGAAGAGAAAGAAAAAGCCATTGAGCAAGTCCAAGACTTCTCTGTGCACCTTTTTAGCACAGTGTTAGAAGGGCTCTGATATTGTCTGTGCTCTTTGGTTTCTTCATGCATTCTGAATTCTAAGAGGGGGGTTTTGGATCTTGTAATGGTGAACTGCCCTTATGTACTCTGTGATTCTCCTTGTGCTGTGGTTTACACATTCCATTTCCTTTGTACCTGGTGTTTCACTGTGCAGACACAGGCATTATGTGGCCTAAGAGGCAGCAGACAATATGAAACAGACTGATGGGGTTTGATATGAAAAGTGATAGGATGTTTATCAATTATCAATTGAAGGTCACAAGCCAATAAAAATATACCAACAGTTGTAGCAGTTTCAAAAATCCAAGCTGAAAGCGATATGGACTTCAGCTCACCCCAAAAGCCATGGATGAGACAGAAAAATACTGTGTAATTGTACAGAAATAAATGTCTGTTAAAGGATTCGAACAGAGGGCAGTCAAGACGTTATCTTTTTGAAATG